AACAGAATTCAAACAAGTAAGTCATAACGTCAAAGTAAACTGACCAGTTTTGAGTTCAAACGGCTCATTGTCCCCGAATTTTACCGCCACTGAATGAGCTTTGCGTATGGCATGGAGCAAACGTAATTTACTACTAAAAATAGATATGATATTAACTTATTATCTATTTATTTAGAACAACCGGCGTTTATTTAACAAATTCAAACATTGCACTGCTTTCATGTTTATTTTTGTTTATTCAAGCTGAAATGGAGCAAAGTATTCATTAAAGTGTGTGCCGAACCTTCATACTATGAATCACTTATGGGATGTTTACGAGATTGCTATCTGAATTTGGAAAACTGCCCCGATCATATGTGAAGCAAACATTTCTAGGGTAACTGCATAGGAGAAATACCAAGGTTAACAGAAAATAGATTTTCTAATATATTTCATTTCACAAAAATGAAAATGTCTACAATATGAATTCAACAAGTGAAAATTTACCGAACTGAGAGCATTCTGCATTAGAGTAGTCAGAATTATATATTTGCTTGAGAGGTAAATGAAGAGTAAACAGTGAAAAGTAACACGTTTTTAGACCGTATATACCACACAAGTATAGATATATCAACAAATGAGATAAGTTAGTGAAACTGTTATGAGAGCAATTATAGTTATATTAACACTTAAGATCGAATTTAAACACTGGCATAGCCTTGACGCCTAGCGCGAGCACGTCCGATAAGATAGGCAACTAATACGACGATTACGAGGCAGGCTAAGCAAGCTCCGACAATTATAGGAACGATGTCAGAAGTGCGTGTGTCCAAGAAGCAGAGATCGAATCCTGAGATTGACAAAAATTAGTTATATAGGATATTGAGTTTTCCAAACCTTGATTGGCAGGGAATTCAGCTGTGGTGAGATGACTAAATGCAACCGTTCTGAGGCCCTTGAATTCAACTGAGGATCCGCTCTCGAGAGGGAGGGCACTCTTGGAGCACTGAAAACAACGGTGTAAACAAAACAATAAAAGTTGTGGTCGTACCTTGAATCCGCTAGATCCACTAGCAGCAACATCATTGGTAGAGTTTTTTAACATTTGGATTTGTCCTAAAAGTACATGATGGTTTATGCTTATTTCGCTCAATGTAACTTGCCTGTTATCGCTTGAGGACAGATTGGATTCTCTGCGGTGAGAACTTTGTACTCACTGACTTTGTATCCATTAGCGTTGGTGGTAAAAATGATATCCAAAGACCATGGTTGATGACTATCATTCTTTAAAGGAGTAAAGCCAATCTTAAAAGAAAAGCTAGTCAACATGATCACGAGAAAGACCTACGGTGAGGATTTGAGCAGGTTTTCCGTCATGAGTAGCTTTACAATTACCGGTAACTGAATCTACATCTTTAACTTCTACTTTACAAGTTTCAGTTCCATTCTCCTGAGAATTGGTTTGAAAAACTAAATGAGACAAAGCTACCACTTACAGTGCTATACACGAGGTTTAAAGTAGTTTCTGCTTCCAAAATAATACAATATTCGTGTGCGTTTTCGTCGTAAACGGACCATTTTTCACAAGCAACTAACCCGACAAGTGCTGAAATATGAATTTGATTTCTGATAGGTTAAAGAACACTCACCGAATAATATGACTGCCAAACTCTTCATCTTCCAATATCTATAACGACATATAGTGTAATGGAACAAAATAGATAGAGTAAACGATATGACTCAGTATGATAGCTGTATTGAACTAGGAAAAGGAAAACTGTCAATCAATTTTGAAGTCTAACAAGCTTTTGCAATTTCAACGTTTATCAGAAAAACCATGATAACGAAGCTACCGATAAATTACAAACTTAAAACCCTGTCTAGATTCAAACCATCCTTACAGAACAGAGAATTTTTTGTGAAAAACAGTTTTATCAGGAGAACCTCATCATGATTATTTCAGGGAAGTAATGATTAGAAAGATTATTGACTAGTTTATGATCATAAATCAGTGGGAAGCGACAAAAAATGAACATACACAACCGCATAGCACATGACGAACTAAACTCAATGTGTTATTCGCGAGCTAGTATTGTCTGCGCTACGGCGAATCGAACTGGACTGTTTACCAAGTCGATAAAATTCACTAGGGCAATAACATAGTTCGAAATCTGCTTCCTCTCGTCTCTTTTGAACACATTTCGCAAAAACTTAAGAACTTCAGAAAAAAAAATATACAACCGACCACTCTTCAACGATGCCAGTAAATAACAAAAAGGGGCGGTGCATCTCTTGACATCTCAAACAATTGGTCCCAGCAAGAAAAGCTGAGAATAACCTTATCACTACTAACTTCTATATATTTCTAACTAATGATAAGCATCGGTTCATATTAATGTTATAAGGACAAACTTTCAACAAAAAAAAGTTTATATTCAAAGATGCGATTGACAAGTGTGAGTAGGCAAAGGTTCAAAAATGAAATCGTCTACATTAAGTCTTCATTTATTAGCGATTATCCTTCATACGTAAACAACCGGAGAACAGCAAATGATAAAAGGTTTATATACAAACTATCCGAGAAATTTGGCTTGGGAGACCACGTAGAAGCGTCCAGGTTAAAAGGAACTCTTTCAAAATATATTAAGACACGTATTTGTAAAGAGTAGTGTCTTCATTATCGCGACAAAGATACTCTCTTTCCATCAATGAGCCGATTCGCTTTTTTAAATCAGTGGATTTCACCGGGAATCTGAAACACAAACAGATTCCAAGATAATATTTTATGAAAGCAAACCTCAATTGTGCGAATAGTTCATTAATAAGTTGCTGATGGGATAGAACTTTTCGCGTTTTCATTATCCTAACAACAGCGGCATCGATCTGATACTGACGATCAAGATTGACTTGCTCTTCAGTTTGCTTCTGCTCCTCTTCCTGCAAGGATCGCTATCACCAAACATCAGATGGCTCTAACTTACGGTCTCTTTCAATTGTACTTGACTAATTTTAATTCTGTAAAGGCGTTCTTGGAGATCATTATTGACAGTAAACTTGTCATCATCGTGAATCTTAAAACGAAGAGTCAATAAGCAGTTTTTAAGTTTCTATATTTACATCTTTGCTTTTAGGTGTCTTCTGTAATACTCGAACTTTCCCACACGCCAACGAGAGTAAAGTTCGTTTTAGCTCTTTGGCTTCTGAAGAAAAATAAGTTTGCAAACAAAGTCGACTCCATATTATTTACCAATTTTGGTTGCATTTCCAATATCCGTAGTTGAGTATTCTTGGCAATCATTAAATAACAGAAGAACAACTGCTTGGTACAGAGATACTTGAAGTTCTTTCACGCACTTAAAACGAGAAAAATTAGCATACGAAAGAACAAGACACGAAGGTCATTCCAGTTAAGTCGGACAGAAGGAACGGTTGTGTTGCAAGAGTCTAGGATACAGGAATCACTTACGTTCGGTCGGAAAACTCCTTTCAGCATACATTGTCCTAGTGAATGTTGCCATTGTAGTTTACGACCGTTGTGTTTCGAGATATAGAAGTCTTGATACATCTTCAAACTTTGAGCCATATCACAGGGTAATGTAATCTGTAACATGATACCAATAAGAAAGAAAAACTAAGCCGTCTTACGTCAACGGCATCATATGGAGGCCATTGTCCTGATGTGAGAATATTAACACAGAAGTCCATTTTCACAGAACGTTTTCCTAACTCAGCTTCATGCTCATTGTGCTGGAACGAAAGATTCAGAATCAATCAAATATACAGTCTAACCTGTCGGAAAGCGAGCGCTAAATCTTTAGACACTTCCATATCTTTGAACATACCCTCCAATTTATGAGTGAACCCGGCTCCACATTCTGAAAACAAATCTCATAACACGTGTCTACAGTATAGCTTCCCAACCTTGCTTTAATTTGCTCAGCATAGATTTTTCGGCATCTACTGAAGCACTCCTTCCCAGAAGGAGTCTCTTCGCCAAATCTTTCTTATAGAACGCTTCAAACACATCTTTTCCTGAAATCATTCTCTCATGAGAACTGGTTTCGTGTCCTCATTACCTTGAATGAATCTGAATAAAGTGATCGCCTTGTCCATCAATTGGTCTAGCTCCTCATCACTAGCTTCCTTGTTGGCACTCCTCATCTTGGCGTCCATGAATTTAGCTACTAATTCGGCAGGTTTGTTCGGTCTCGTATTGATGAAGTAATCGAATGAATCTCTTAGAGCTTGTAAGAATTTATCCTGATTGCCGAAGCATTTTTGTACTGTAAAAGCAGATGAATCCAAGTACAGACTATCTGAAATACCTATAGTATCCATCTTCGTTTTGAACACCATCAGATCTTCAACCATAGTTCTATCACGTTCCGGGTTCAACACAAGACTCTTTCCCACTCGCTGAAGTTATTTCATGATACCCCCGGTAACATAATCACACAGTTACCTTGATATATGCAACAAAACCGTTTTTCAAAAGAACTTGACCTTCTTTCACTCGGGTCAATAATATAAACATCAATGCTAAATCGTCAATATTGTGATCCTCTAATAGACGGTCGAGGCCTGAAAAGCAGAGAAGTGATCCAAGGACAGTGATTCTTCTCACCTCTGTTAAGTATTTGTTGCATATGGTCGGTAATTAAGCAATTCTCCGTAATTTCGAAAAGTTTAACTCTGCTGCTATCGTCCAGATAGAAGCTAACTCGTTCGACTTCACCTTGAAGTCGTTTATCCACATAACGAATATAATCACTGGCCTGGAAACCATTTGAATACTGTGATCACTTCTTTTTAACTCACTTCCAGTGATTGGGAATAATTTTCTCCCTCTTTGCGGAACAAGGTTTCTGTTGCTCGGAAGAAAGGTTCCTCAAAGACCTAAACGAGTACATGAGACATCGTGGGATATGGAATGACTGACCTGTTGATAGATTTGTAAACTACATAACATTCGAAGTATAGATTTGATCAAACATCGGTCAACTTGTTTTCCCATTCTCTCATCGGTGATAAGCTTAAGAACATCTGTGACTATCCTTTGCTTGATCAGTGAAGACTGCAGAATTTCTATCCGGAAAAGTGTCAAAGACATTTCCCTGTAACAGAAGATAAGACAACGAGATTCAAGTTCTCTCACCATATAGATAAAACCGATGTTTGTTGTAGTACATAAGCCCTATCGAGGAAAATGAAGATACTACGAATCATAGTCTGAGAGAAACATGAACGAAGGTTTTAAGAAGAAGCACATACCACTTGGGAACAGAAATCCGTCCAAACTCTTTCAATTTTTTCTAGAAAATTAGACATATTGTTTTCTACTTCCTGGAATAGATCATGTCTATAAATAAAGCATTGAAAGGACCGGCTCAAGTTTGAATGTCACCTGAACACAACGACATGGCTTTTAATAAGAGCTTGAAGCTTATCGTATACAGCTGGACCTTCATTTCTACAAAGATTATAAACCGTCTGAAAAAACAAAAAGCTGAATAGGAACAGGAGGCGGAAACAAACCCTATAGAGAGATTCATAAGAACACAAAACTTTTTCATGCTTGTTTATGGCATTCACGCTGCTTTCAAGCAGTGCCCACATAGTATCAAATTCTCGCGATCGTTTATCACTTTCTGTTGAAACACAGGATCAGTTCATAGATGGCAAATCTCAACATTACCTCTATAGTTTCGAATTTGTAATTTTTTGGACTGTGTCATGCCATTGTGGAACTGAGCATGTTGAGTCTGTTAAAATGATTATTTTGTTTTTTTTATAAGTTTATATATATTTACTGATGGCACTGAAAAGTTGCTGACGATTTTCTCATTTTCGACTTGACTTAAAGCATCTTCTAGAGAGTTATCAAGCTCTTGTTCAGTGTCCATATCGATATCACGATCATTATCATCCATAGCAGTTAATGATCTTTTGATTTGTGGCTAGAACATAGGTTAACTGAAGATGGCAAACACATTATAAGTGATCAAACCTCTTGTATGTTTCCTCTAAGGGATCTTTTATTAGATCCTGGACGAATAATTAGTTTCTTTCCTTTTACGGAAGAACTTGATCCGGAATGATTAGAAGGTGTTACTTCGCCTTGGTTATCCTCAACTTTAGTATGTGTTTTCTCTGTTTCAGACACAGGCATGAATGATTCTATTTTTAATAACTGAAGATGTATGTCTGTCTATTGATTATTTTATAGAATACAAGTCATACAATAATCGTGAATGCCTTGGATGGTCAAATGTACGTAAAAGAAAACAAGAAACCAAGAATCCTCTCAACCCGAGAAAAAAAATAGACGAATGGCGTTGAAGTAAAAATTTTTGGTGCAATATACGTAAATTTCAGGGATAGTCATGTACGTTCATTACAAAGTAAATGATTATGCTGTGTGCTTCTAAGCGATCGGGGTAATTCTAAACACCTGTTCACTAATGACACGCCTAATTCCCATAATGACCAACGATCTTACCACGCGGTATACCACTTAGCTTAATTGAAGTTTTGAGGATTTTCAGAGATAGTGCTATCAGAATGCTTTACCAAAGAGGTATCTTATCCTCGTCTTCTATTTTGATAAGAATCCCATCTTGTGATCCTCATTAGCGATTGTTTATCATCCCTGGATTGATGTCCAATTATAACATTTAACTATTAACAAAGCAAATGCCAAATTATTCACGGAAAAAGACTAAAGTTCAGATAATACGTCAGCGATCCTTCGGTAGCATCATAAGCTCTGAAACTTGGATGACCTTATGACCAGTAGTAGGTTCGTCAACGGTTCTCCTAATCAACACCTATGACTCTGATGATAGCAAGGCAACTTCAAAGAAATAACAAAAAGTTTATTGAATCATAAGAGTATATAATAGAAGGGATTGAGATCAGATTAGGAAAAGAGAACAAAGCAGGCAGCTCGTCATGATTATCAAAGCAAAGTAACAAGAGTACTGATGTAAGCTTCAGTTCTCACTATACAAATCTGTCAACACAGAGCAGAACGCTTCCTTGGGGACGGAACTATAAGCACCTGTTAGCATCTATCATGTACCCTATCTAAGAGACAGTATGTCTTTCTGTGCAAACCCTATGCGTTACTGGCGGAACAAGGCGATTTCACGCACAAGAATCTGAAAGCTGGAAGACGCGTACAAAACTTACCGAAAGAAAAAAATACTGTTCTTGTGAAGCAGTGTCACAATCCGAAGAATGTAAAATCTTAGATTCTGGGGAGCTTGAACCGTTACGTATATACGTAAGGGTCTAACAACCTTTTTCGTCTGACGTCGTGTCGTTTTTTCATTTTTTAACTTTGAGATGCTTTAAGAAAGAGAGCGGTTGCATTCCAATAGAATCTATTTTTGAAAATTTCTATGCTTCCAGGTTATGAGTAGTGATACCTATAGCAGGTTCCGCAGCATCGCTGATTATTTCCAATACCTGGATGACCTAATTGAAAACGCAGACTGGGAATCAGCAGAGTCTGCTGCTCAACTACTCTCGTTGAATAACAATCACTCTTCTCTTCCTTTCCTTCAGGTACTGTTTCCAAAACATTATTTTTCGAAAGTCTTCATACAGGTGGAAGAGTATGGTTCTCGTAAAAACAGAAGCTACCTTAATGATGAAGCTTTTGACAAAATTGTGTGCTTGCATCTGCAAGTACTCTACAGTCTCAATGTAGCACGGAATTACGAGAATGTTTACAACGCTCATACCTCGGTAAGAACTGTAACTCTTCTACTGATCCAATCTGCTTGTAGATAATGCAAGTATTTAACAAAGAAGTTCTCCAAAAGAAGAAAGAGGAGAACTGGTTTATGCCCATTTTCTATCAACTTTGCTCTGACTTACTCAAAGTGGCTAGCTTCGCTGACGAGTTTGTAGAGCGGGATGACGAGATGGAAAACTCTGCATCCTTTTATGAAAGCTGTGCTTCCTTCATCATGGAATCATATCGTACTTGTGTCTCAGATGTGTAGGTCTTCGAATGTCGTTCCACTCCTGAAGTTACCATTTACAGACGTGCCGATGCCTCAACTACTAAAAAAATTGCAATGCTTAACATGACAAATCAACTGTTCCGTATTTACTTCAGAGTAAGTTCAGTCAACTCGTTCACACCTAACTCTGGCGCTTCTCAGATTGACAAGCTCAATTTGCTCAAACCATTAATACGAGCTATTGATAATTCCGGCCCACTTTATCACGAGTTCTCAATGGCAGATAAGGTTTGAAACAAGATTTCGTTTTCCATTTGAGGCTTTCTGATTGCAGGTCACCTATAAATACTTTCTCGGTAGAAAAGCGATGTTTGACTCCGACTTGCCCTTAGGTAACTCGATCTTATTTTCATTTTCATGTTTTGGTTATTAAGCCGAAGAATCACTCTCTTATGCTTTCCGTAATTGCCCACCTGAGTCCATGACAAACAAAAGGCTAATTCTCATATATTTAATACCTGTGAAAATGTTTCTGGGGCACATGCCCTCTCCATTCCTTCTGCACAAATACCAATTAGATGATTTTCATGATGTGAGTTGTTTCATTGTGAATTGAGTGTTCATATGATCCTTCAGGTGGTAGAGGCCGTTAAAGACGGAAACTTGGGCAAACTAGATAGGGCTTTGGCTGATCATGAAGATTTCTTCATCCAGTGCGGAATCTTTCTGATGCTCGAAAAACTTCGAGGAATCACATTCCGAACATTATTCAAAAAAATGTGAGCATTCGAGCTAGTTTCATCAAATAGAAAATACTCCAGATCTACAATTCTGAATACAAATATGATACCTCTGGGAGCGTTCCTGTGTATTCTGAAATATCTCAAAGTTGATGATGTGGATGAGCTGGAGTTGGAATGTATAGTAGCGAATCTGATTGCTGAGGTGAGCTTTAACAATTATTCCATTGGTTGAACTGATTTCCTTCAGAAAAAAATCAAGGGATATCTATCTCATCAACATCAGAAGCTCGTGATTAGTAAGAAGGATCCTTTTCCTGCCCTGTCATTAATTCATGCTGGATCTCATTGATAAACAATAAATGGAGTCTAAAATAACAAAAGCTTTACAAACTTCATTACGCAAGATAATATACAAGAGATCTCATATTAAAAGAAAGTAGAAAAACTGAGATTTGAGCGGTTTGATAATGACTAGATGTTTTTGAAACTCTTGAGGGGTTACATGTCTTTCGCACGAGAAAGTTCTGGGATTTCTCTAACTGAGAAGGAGGTTCCGTCGGACGGCAGGGGTGAGGGTATGAAAGGAGATAGGGCTATCAAAGGCCAACGACTCCCAAGGCATTCTTTCAAATTTCCAAAAACACCAATCTGATAGGCATGAACATCCTGAAACGAAATTTGGTTTTTAAGTAAATTTCGATGATTCGATTACAAGTAGATATTCCACTCTGGTTTGACCCTGCCAGATACAGAATGCTTGGGCTGCAATCAGGTATAGTGTAAACAGTAAAACCGTCATATTGCAAGCATAGAAAAGAACAACCACAAACTGGTAGAATGATAGAATCCTATAAGTGGTATGATGAGAAAGAAGAAACTATGGGTGGTTTTTAGAACCTTGCAACGAGAGCTAAGTGAGGTAACACGATTTGCCATGCTTTAAGAATGGTAAATTGGCCATCCATGTTAAGCCAGAGGAACTCCCAGGCATATCTTAATATTACTTGTATGATTCATCAAACTATATATAATCTTACAGAGAGAGAACGGTTTGCAACGCGAAGAGATTCAGAATCGCTCCAACGAAGTATCTGAGAGATTTTTGGTATCGACACTACACTTGTTTGTTCATCATACCTCTGATTGAAATGTCCGATACACACTGCACCAAATGAGCAGTGATGATCTCTGCGGAATTGACATGCGTCACAGACTTAACATTCGATTTGAGAACCCGAAATGAAAAAAATAAAAAATACCTGGACAATGATAAGCTCTGGGTGGAGCATTAGCTCTGCAGGAATGGCAAAACCTGAAAACAAATAGTATTTAATTGAAATTGAACGACATCACAAGCGTAGACAACCGGTCATCAGAGAATTTTAATTCAAAATAAAAACTGTCGACGTAAACCTTACTATTTGAAAACGAAAACAAGCTAGGTGAATGACGTCGAGAAGAAATCAAAATCGTTTTCCAGTGATACTTCTAACTCTCACCTGTATCCTGATTTCACAATGTCAACAAGAACAGCTTTACTACCATTTGGTCCCGTTTGTATCATGCGGAACCAGTTAACGTATACGTTGAAAGCCAAAAATCCAAAAATGGATGTTCTTATTACCCAAGCTAGAGAGAAATTACAAGTGATAAACTAGTTTTCAAATGAAATACCTTCTCCAAAGGCAGGCCACCATGTGGGCATAATATAGAAGAGGTGAATCAGAAAGCCTAACGGCATCAATATGACGAAAGTGCCAATAGAAACCTGAATTCGAAAAAGGTTTTGAAAATACGATTCAAAGGGACTTACCACATCCTGTATGTGTTTTGGAATCATCTTGTTCAATTTCGGTAGATTATCCAATTCATCGTTTGAATACATCTGCGATAAGAAGGATGAATCATCAACAACATTTTTTGAGGACAAATTATCAGGTTATAATACAAACAAACGCCAACGTCTAGATCGATAGACAATGATTAAACGATTATGAATTAATTGGGTTCAAATTAAAAAGAAATTTAAATATTCGAGCAAGTTTGCAACATGTTCACGAGTGTCTCGTGAACTGTGTGCAGTTTCAACGAAATGTAACTACGCAGCAAAGGCAGAAGTTATAACAGAGCTGCCACGCCATATTACGGAACAAATATTGGCTTAAGTAGTTGAAGATTTCCTCAACGTTAATCACTTGGAATCTCCTAGTAGAAAGATAAAGACAATGTAATCAACTGATAAAGACTTGAAATACGCAAATGTAACTTTCAAAAATTATAAAGAAAAGCAAAAAAGCCTGACTGACACAAAGGGGAGGGGTCAGTTGGGCGTTATTGATCAGATGGCAACAGCCGGCCACCTAAACGCAGAAGACAGGACCGCGTACACAATAGTCTGCCGAACGAATTTTACAGCAACGTTTCGACTTTGAAGAATATCGTTTATTCAGTATGTGAGAGACCGGTACATTTAGTAGAAATATTGTATTTCTAAATTTAACTTGATAAGAAGTTATCATGTCGTTTGAGCTGATATTATTCGCCATAGCAATCTTATAAGTCATGTGATATCAGAGATTCCTCGTTTTTATGGACACGATATTCATGCATTTCGGAGTAAATTCAGTTTATTATGTTTATATGCTTCTAAAATTAGTTAATAATGCCTCTCTCATAGCGACTCCTTCCTTCAGCTAAGAGGGTTTCATGTTTGATCTGTTCTTATTTTGCGTCTCCTTCTTTTCTGTGACTTAACCTTCACTTTCTCCTATTGTGGTCATTTTGTGTTCCATACGTGATTTTCGCAGATGTTAGAAATGAATTTCGCCGTGATCACTTCGCTCTTTGTTCCAATGGATATTAATGTTTAGGTATCAATGAATGCGAAAACCTAAATCGTGAAGAGATCATAATGACTGTTACAGCTCTTGAAAGAGGATGCAGTGGTATTTTTGCTTCCATATATGTATTAAACCTCTGTCTCCCTTCAGACTCATCCTCGCTTTGTAAGAATTCGCAGGATAGTCAATGTCTTGAAAGTTTTAAGAAATCATTATATAAGGTAACAGTCCTTTTCTCTTCCTGTCATTGATTGTGCACGAGTTGCAGACGCAAGAAGTAAGAAGACAAATAGTAACTTCAATTTTAAGTAACGAATCACTCAATGAAACGCATGTGGACTGTCTCAAGCAAACTCTGTCCGAGGTATTCCTTGTTCGTTGATCCTCTATTCTAAACTTCCATTTTCAGTTAACAGACAGCAGAACTACCGGAGAAATGCGGCATATTTCCACGAGCTCCGCCACATTTTCCATTAATATCCGAGACGAAATACGCGGTTTAGAAGTTTCTTATTTTTGTGAAAGTACATGAGAAGTCCTTGTTCTAGAAAGACGTTGAGTTCCTTTCCCGTTTACTTGGCAAACATATTAGTAGCTCCACTATTGACGGCCTTTTGGATGATGTCGATCTACCTGATATCTTGAGCCATTATCATTCGATCAGCGTCGATGCTTTCCAACATGAATTAGAAAATACAACTAGGTTGGGACATTGAAACACAGGAACACATTGACTTGTTGACTTTAGGTTTTTGCTTAATTTCGTTAATAACTCCAGTAATGACACAAGAAAACCATTCTTCGTAACGGATTGGGATGGAACCATGAAAGACTACTGTTCACAATATGCTACAAACTTACAGGTTTTTGAGTTCTTAAGTACATGAAGATAACTTCTAATTTTAGCCCATATATAGTGCGGTTGTAATGGGTCGGTTCTCAACACTGTTTACCAGAGCTACTGCAGTTCTCACTGCTGGTCCTTTACGCGGTCCTGGTATACTGGATCTCACAGCTTTACCTTTGAACGGACCTGTATTATTCAGGTTAGTTCAGTTGAACTTCTATGATTTCATCAAGCAACCGTTCTTATCCTCTATCATGAAAAAATTGACTTCCAGCCTATGATTACGTGAGTTGATCTCTCACGTCCTATGCTAGTTTACCAATCGATATCAAATTCAATTGTTTCAGTGGCTCATGGGGACGTGAATGGTGGATGCGTGGAAAGCGGGTTGTTCATGAAGATGGTATTAGCGACGAAGCTTTTGATGCTATATCACGATTGAGTGATGAGGTACTGAAAAACAGATTTTCCGGGCAATAAGCTTGTTTTCCAGTTGACTGAGTTGATCGACAGTGTCGACTATGCTCAATTTGCTTTAGTTGGAAGTGGTGTTCAGCGTAAAGTTGATCGTTTAACACTCGGTGTTCAAACTGTGTTCGGCCATGTTCCTGCTGAGCTTACCTCGAGATATATCGATGCTGTTAAAGAACGAATGCATCGTATCGATCCAAACATGCAGGTTTTCAATTTCACTCCTCTGATGATCTGAAAACATGCGAATACAGGTTCTCAAATTAGATGAACATAACCATTTGGAAATTGAAATATGTGCTCACGCTTTCAATGGTTAGTAACTCTCCGGTTTCAATCAGAACTTTTCCTATTTCAGATGAAGGTCCTCCTAAGGTATGGGACAAGGCGAATGGTGTTGCTGCCTTGATTGAAAGCTTGAATGATAGTCTAGAGGTTGTTTCATGGGTGTCTTGTTTTTCTGAAATAATTCGTTAAGGACGGCTTAGTGCTTGTGGCTGGAGATACAAGCAGCGATTTGCCGATGCTACGTCATGTTTTTAATGAAAACCCTAAGGTTGTCAATGACATAAACCAGAAAGCTAATCAAAATTGCATTTTAAGGGTGTCATGGCTTTGTTTGTGGGAGCCAATGAAGATTTGAAGTCAAAAGTAAGAGACATTGTGAAAGATGATTCTCGAGTTTGTTTTATCTCAACTCCGGATGTAGTGCATGCAGCCTTTGCTAGACTGATTGCTAGCACCCATGAATTAGATTAATGTCTTGGACACTTGTGGATGTCTTATCTGTAGAATCATTGTTAGTAGATTCATTCTTAAGTTCCTCATATATAATCGAGTATCTGCAAGGTTTTGGGTTATATAAGCAGAACTTAGAACTGTGTAAGTGAGTATGTGATATATGGTTTCCCCCATCCCGATTGCAACTTAATCATAGCAAGGAAGACCATGTAGTTCCGGGTCTAAATTTCTTCTTTATGCTTATTAGATGATTCTAAGTGTCAGGTCAGCCGGTAGTCATGTATATATTGTTTTATTATTTATTATGCGTTTTATAAACACGGGATTTTCCTTGAGATACTTCGCAAGAGTCTCGGCTTCTTAGTGATTTCCATGAATAAATTATTATTCCACGTGAACTGTTTCTTTGCGAGCTTCTGTGTGTATTATGATGAGTACTTGTAACAGTATGGCTTCTGCTAATTATTTACTGCCGCCAGCACTACTCCTGCAGACACTATCAAGGCTACTGCCAGAAGTGCGAGTGCAAGACCGGCTGCTCGTTTTTGCATTCGGCGACGATCAGCCTTGCGAGCCCATGCTTCATAGTCGTACAAGGACTCGGGAACACTCACACCTATGATAAATATTTTTTGCTTCAAGTTTTTATTGCCTCTCACCATATCGATAAACAGGACTCTTAGCAGGCCTCCTGGGGGACTTTGGTCGGATAGTAATGTCGTGTGTAGAGTAGCTTCGACCTTAAGAACGAGATGTTTTTTAGAGCAAGCTAGGAAAACATACTTCTATTGCGTGGAGTATATGGACTTGTGTTTCTATGTAGCCGACGAGCACTCAAAATTTGCTCTTTCGGAATGAAATAAGAAGGAATTCTGTTAGATAATGATCTCATGACACTAGAAACTCTGCCACAGGCCTAGAACATTACTTGGTTTCAGTAATAAGACTACAAGTTCAACTCACGGGGCAGTAGTCTCCAGATCGGAAAATTTTGAAGGCACAGAGGTCACATTTATCATAAAAATCTGGTTCACGCCTTAACGTGTGAGCTGCCAGACGAGGATTCTCGTGCCTGGCAGGATAGTTGTAACCATATGTATTATCCCACAAGTAATCTTGAGAAATGGCTCTGGATTTCCATTGATGCTGATAGGGAGCAGGACCGAATCTCCTGTTCAATCTCACACTACCAGAATCAACAGAGTCGCAACGCCGATGAGATCTATGATCATAGTATGGCCGTCTTCGTGCGGCATACCACTCTCGACTAATTCCATTATCATATTCACCGTATTCAGGAAATAAAGTTGAGCCATATTCCCTGGATGTGTCATGGCCTAAGAACAGTGCACTTTGTGCTCATGGTGTTTATTTGAGAACGTACGTTTGCTTTCGTAGGGTATATGTTGAACATATATTGGTTCGGGAATCTCTGATGTGTAATTCCTTGTGAAATTTCTATCATGATATGGATCATTTCTAGCCGTCGCTAGTTCATCTACAATTCAATAGTGATATGAAAGGTGAGAAGATTGAACTTACCTAACGGTCGCTGCCTTCGCTCGAAAATCGCCTCCACTTCTCCGTGCGAATTCCGACAAGAGATCAATGAATCAAGTCTATCGGAAGCGGATTGCAGTCCCGAATCCAACTCTTAAAGTACACACAATGATCATGATGCAAAAAAATGCCCTTTAGTGTAGTTTGGTTATGTTTTGTTGCGGCCAGTTGACTGATCAACACGTGAAACTACACAAATTAGAATATTGATTTTTCGGCGATCGGCTCATTTAACAGAAATGTTTCGCACAGAGTGGTTGTATAATTCTAATCGCTTCGATTTTCGAAGGCTACGCATAAGTTAACGAAAGGTAAGCTTACCGTTTTTATCTGGAGGAACAGGAGTAGTGTTGTGTCTGCCTTGTTGTTCATCGTCTATGAAACGAAAACTTTCATCCACGATTCGCTCACCTTTCCTTCCGGTCCCAGTCATGTCTTCCAACTAAAGAAGAAAAAAAATGTATCAAAGTCAGTCAAGCATAGGAACTTACGACATAGCTATTCGCTACTTTTTTCTGAATACGATCGTTTAGCTGATTTATATTATATATTCTTTCTTCTTCTCTTGTTTGTGATGGGGTTGCGCGGAACCTGAAAGAAAGAATGTTTTCTATTTTTTTCGTGTTTTGTACCGTCGGTCTCTAATCATTATAGGCGCATTAGGCTGCGAGGTTGAAGCATCGAGCAAAATCCAATTCCGCCTGTGGTCCATGGCTCAAACTATAGACAAGTAGTGAATTCTAAGACAGTTCTCAAAGCTTTATGATCAGATGTAGTGAAGCGGAGGTAAAAAGGAAAAATCGAAAAAATAAAAGATTCATCGGATAATTGCGAAGTTGATCCTTCAGCTATCCGGTTTGACCCCGGCTGTCCAGAAGCTTAGAGGTGAGAATTAAACAGGCAAGTCGAGTGACTACCATATACAAACAATATGAGTGTTTGGAGAAACAAAGAAAAGAGAGAGAATTCAGCAGCGACTGATTGCAGATCAAAACGGATTTGAATAACTAATTAGAAATCTGAAAAGTCCAAAATGTTTCGAAGCTTCAAGTTGGTATATTTTGGACTAATTGGTCTAATTCTTCAGTAAATAAGATCTTCTGCGTAGTGTTCCTCGATGGAATTTTAAGCAGGAAAAAGTGCGGAATATTAATGGGATCGTACATAATCTGGTTGTTAAACAATGAAAAAATGAAGCTTGAAGGTAATTTATTCATGACAAATGTCTGTGTCAGCCAGCAAGAATGAGTGGTGGAGACTTTCATTATCTTCTTAACTGTGGATGAACGATAAAAACGAATTGGGTACAGAAATACAAGCACAAGAGAGAAGACTGAGATTGAGGGACACTTGAAGAAGCAACGACAAAGAGAGCCAGCTTAAGCACTTTTAGCTGAAGTCCAAGCTTGTTCGCCGCCTGATACTTTGATTTCAGAAGGAGAGCCTCAAAACAAAAAATAGTTAAATGGTCACTATTGTTGAATATTGTTCTAATTGGTTTGCAATATAACGTGACCTGTACGAGTTATGAGGCCTAGAATGTGATTCACGAGGGGAGAAGATGAAAGGAGTGAAACTTTCAAATACGTGGGGCTGTATAGAAATCAAAACATATTGCAAGTATACTCTCTCATTTTTTGATTCAGTGAGGAAACTTCAAAATGATTGAGCGAGGTAGTTCTCGACTGAACTGAAAAATGGGATTAATGAGAGAGGGGTTGTAAAAGGGTAATTTAACAGTGTTCAGAGATTATGAATGTTTAACAAGCATTTATACACTGCACGCAGAACATAAATGCATCTCAAATCTCTGTTCTTCTCATAGTACGACTCCGATTGGAAGGATGGTCAAAGGTGAAAGACAAATTATTTTTTTTTTCTATTCATGAAAATTTATGAGGAAATTAGGAAACGAGGATGGCGAAGAAAGAATAAAAGAAGATGAAAGCGAATGAGGCAAACTATAGGATAATGAACTGACAGCATTTTGAAAGCGCAAGCAAATCTGGATTGTGAGCTAATCGCATCAGCTTTGTCATCTGGCACTCAAGTTTGACACCTTCAAATTTTGAATTAGACGGAAGAAGCCGTATATGGTATGAGTAAGAGCATGAATAAACCAAATGTGAACCATCCAAATGCTTTACTAATTGCTCAAAACTTCAACGATCAAAAGCGGATTATCCAAACTGAGGTCGTGATCCTGAAACGATCCAAGACGCAGACTAAACCTAATCCTACGTATTTACAAACTTTACAGCTACAGTGATCTTTGGTAAGAAAAGGAAAATATTTATTTTGTTTTTAGTTCATTTCATATCTAAATGTTCTAATTAATATGAAGAGCATATATCATTTTAAATGTTCGAATATGTGAATAATACAAAGAATCACTTTCAATGGAGGATGACAAGCATTATTAAGCGTAATGGTTCAGTTTTCTTTTCAAGAAATAAAATCTAATAAAAGCTATCTAGCAGCTATCATCGGGGCAAAGTAGCCGTTGTATCTGGACTATCACCAAACGATTCATCTGCCTTCGTTTCGTATCTTTTATTATAATTATTATACAAGGCAGTAGCTATTTCTCCCGCTAACATATCTCCACCGTTTGTCTGAAACCCATTCAAGTGATTAGACCTTTTGTTTACTTTTTTGATCTCACCTGAATGAGACGAAGTAAGAAAACACCGTCTGGTGTGAGGAAATTGCGCACAAATCCGTTCACCTATAAAATCAATAATAAAATTAGCATAAAGTTGTTTAGTTGTTTGCCACGTGCAGAACGGTTGCTTATGTCATTCTCTCTCTCTATCTCAATTTCTTTTTCTCTCATTTCGGTATCAGTCTCAGTTGTTAAATATATTCCTAATTAACTATTTTTTTTACCTTCTGTTCTTCTACGGCAGAGGGTTCCTCACTAATAGCTCCCATGCAACGAAGGTATCTGAAAATGAACGTGTGACTACGAACGAAACGATTTCTGTGTTTACTTGGAGACAAATTCAGTTTGGAATCCGCGGTAAATGAGAGCTACGAACCAATAAGCAAATGAGATCATAGTTAAAACTCCAACGAGAATAAACCAGAACCTTCAATGTAAGTTTACCATTAAGACATTCAGATACACCAAACAAACCATAAAAAGACATAAATTTTTTCAGTGAACATATTGATCATGAGGACGCATTGTACTGTCCATCGATGAATTGCTCCAAGTACACGAACCTTAAACATGAGGGTGTGAGAGAGTGATAGAACTAAAATCCTTACGTGGAAGTCGCACATAGTAACACGTGGGAAGTGTCCGGTTTCTTGCCATGAACGTCCATCCATAAGGTCACTGAAGATTTCCCATCCCCAGAAAGTAGAAGAAGTTCCGAGGAAAGTGGAGAAAATGAGGAACTGAATTCAGAAGAATGAAGATCGCAAGTCAGAACTTAATGCTCACCTGGACACCAATGTTCACAATGTACAAAACTTTGGAAGCCAAATACAAGAAGGAGAGGAAGAATCCGCACTTTCTCATTTTTGAAATAAATCCAGCTTCTTTAAGGTATAGATGAGTGAGACGACAATGAACGAGTTCACCTACCAACTTTCAATTCACGTTGAAGTTCAAGAGCTTCTTGAAGATGAGCAGCTGCCTTAGCTACCTGATTTTCTCTATCCTTTTGAGATACATTCTTTTTCACCTAAAGTTATTATTTCAATGAGATCTATTGATGAGGCGTGAAATACCTTAGCTGATGATTCTAAAACGTCCTTAACATTGATTCCAGACGATGAGGTGAAAGCCTTCCACAGCAGGCAAGGTAAATAGAAAAGGAAAGCTTGGAATCCCAACATTAATGGAACCCATTGATAGTATCCTATTTCCTAAAAAAACAAAAAAGGTTTATAAGAAGGTTCAGGCAAGCCACGATACCTTCTTCTCTTCACTCAAGAAGTATTGCTCAGGATTTTGATCATCTGGTAGGAAGTAACTTCCCTTGATGAAACAATAAGTTTCAGCGTATCTGTAATTTACTACTTAGATTCGCAAATTCAATCCACGTGGGAGTCAAGATTGAAACGCATGACAGCGCGCGCCAACACAGATATTTACGTGGAAAATACGTGAAATTCAAAAACATGCGTAATGTCATTTTGAAATTCCAGTCGGTTAACACGGTTGTTGAAATGAACTTACTTCTCCCAAGCACCAGTGAATTGAGCAGGTACCCAACATTGGATTGGCTTGCCCACATACTGCGTTGCTGCTAATGTAATCGCCCCAATGGCTACTAATAAAGCGGTATATTGATAATTTAATCTTTAAGTAGTTAATTTCATTATTCCGTTAAAGTGTTAAGTAAGTACCGATCGACCAAATCATTAGATTGATAGGATCTTCGTATTTTCTTTACATAAGGCAGAAAGGCCCCGATCATCCTGCTACGGAGGACCTGCAAGTATATACTAATATGTAGAAAAAAAGATTATACGATAAGAAACATTGTGAGGAAGTTGTGAATGTAAGTTGAAAGAGCGGCCTTGAAAAAAGGGGGAAAATACTAGAGGGGGAAATAGTACAAGATCAGGAAAGGCAAGAGAGAATCGTGTAATAATTAGTAGTCGTAAATGAGAGAAAAGGGAAAGATGAATAGAGATTGACCGAATAATAACCGTTAATGTATAGAAAGTTTTTCATATTTCATCAATACGACATGAAGAGAGAGGATATTTATCGAACGAGTTGTGTAATTAGACGAATGTTTTTATTAAAATATTGTAAAAAGAAAAACATAATGTGTGATGATTATTAGAAAACGAACTCTAAATGAGTGGTGGTGGGGGTGAGGGAAAAGGGAGATTGAGAGAAATTTTAATGCAAAATAAGGATTAAATAAGTCTGGTTTCAACTGGACACCCACCACTACCAGCATACGAGAGAACTCGCTTCAAATGGTCGTCTGAAGAACTTTTGCAACATTCGAGTTGTCGTGTATGTAGTGAAGTAATTTTGTAATTTCAATCTTCTTCAGGAGGTTGTGGATTCAAACATGAACGGCGGTGTTGGAGAGAGAGAGAGAGTCAGAGAGAGCAAAAAAGCATGAAAACTTTGCAAATAATAGGGAAATTTGATGAATATTCATAGAATATCATTCGAATTCATACGATTTTCCCATTTTCATCAGAAATCAAGAGCTTTTTCGAAGTTCGTCAGGCCAATCAATGATCGATGGAAGGTTTTTAAGGAGAAAACGAGGCAGAGGCGAGGAAGGGAGGAGTATAATAAGGGTGTTAGAGAAATAAATAACGAAACAAGCAAAAAAGGGAAATAAAAACATGTTTTTTCCTTGGAAATCAAAGAGAGATGTTTATTGAATGAGATTTCCATTAATTGGATGACCTCTTTCTCTTAAAGTTCACTCTGCACAGATTCACAGTTGCACTTGGAAAAAGACAAAAACTGTTGAAGAAAAAAAAAAGAAAAAAGTTCAACATCTTCCAAGAGAGGAAGTGAACAGATGGTTGCAGGCAAATACAAATAAGCTTTTTGATCCAAGTCAAAACGTTTTTTTGAAAGTCTCGAGTCAGAAACAACTTGATGGGCAACTAGTGAGGAAAATGGAAAATATTGGCGTTAGAGGTGATCAATAGGCAATCTTGATGTTTCCTTCAATCAAACATTCAGAAGGTCGAAGTCTATAGACAAACTTTGTGACAACATAGAATTCACTAAAACCACAAGAATTTTCCATAAATGGCAATGGGTTTTCTGCGAAAAGTAATACGATTAGAATAGGGAAAGATCACATCGATTTTCGACTGTTCGCAGAAAACGAGTGGACAGTTTTTTGGGTCCAATCTGGCAGAAGTGACCATCAAGAATAAGATATTCGCTAAGAATAACATAAAGAAGACCAGAAACAAATACGAAACATATTTAGAAGTCTGTGTTGATTTCAAACAGCCGAAAGCAGATGGTGGTTATGAAGCGGAGAAGAAGATCGTCGACGTTCATGCTAAATGATGGACAGTCTGAATCGATTTTTATGGTTTCAACGTCATGATGGTAGTCTCCGACCATGATCACAACTCTTCCAAATGGCTGCCTCTCTCTCTCTTTTTCTCTCTCTCTCTCTCACTTCTCTCTATTCACATGTAGTTGTCCCTTTCCAATTGAACAGTACTATAAATGCACGAGCAAACAGGTTTTCCGGCTAGATGATTGTCGGAAACTAATTTCAAACATGACGATATGATGAATGACTTTACATGATAAATATTTTGAAATTGAGTAAAAACTACTCTACATCTCCAGACTCTGATGAGTAACATGGGTTTACAACAGTTCACACTGTAAACTATGGAAATGATAAACCTCACAGTGATCAATCTAGCATGTCAAATGAATAGTGATGGAAGGAGAGAGGGTGAGAACATGAAACGAACTAAAAAAGTAAAATCACAACTCATATAACGATTGAAAAATTATGAATGCGGTAAGATCAGGATGAGGCGTCCTTGTCATTTTGGATGAAGGCAATGACGAGATGATTTCTAGATGTCATGAGATTGCTGATGTGGTCCCCTCTCACATCTTCGAGTAGATAATAGAAGATTAAAAAAATCTCATCTACAATCATGTAGATATACTAGAGATATACATTCAAGTTGTGTTAATGTTATAAGATTTGAAAAGTTGGGGACAAATGACTGTGTGTAACCCAAGAGACAAGGAGACAAATGAAGAAGAAAGGTCAACGAAATATCCTTTTGGACCAAGAAATTTCTTGGATGGTCAATGGGGTGGTAAACCTTCGTATTTGAATAGCAAAGGATTGAATACAGGACAAAAAAGATGAGAAGAACAAGTGAAATGGCCTCTCATTGACTTGTGAAATGCCAACCAGCCGACAGCCCGCTAAGACTGCAGGCCAAGGAGAAAAAGAACCTGAGAGAGGTCTCACCCACACGATAACGTTTCTTCACCATTCGCGAAAATCTCTTCTATCGATCTCATGTTCCCTCCGTTATAGGGTAAAACCTACTATTTCTTTTGCACCTAAAAAATCAAGATGGGAAGACAACAAAGGTCATTAGTGTATTCGTACTGAGCTGAGTTGCATTGAACAAACTTTAAAAATTTTTTTGAATTTATGACAAAGGCGATTAGGAATCTCATTTTGACGAAAGAAATGTTGGAATCGCCATGATTGGGAAAGAAGGAAGGACAACGTTGTTTGGGAAAACATCACTCTTGATTTCAGGCAATTAGTTCATAGAAAAGAGCCCGTACCCCACAACCGTTGAAAACACTTGCTACTGGCAAAACGCATAGACAGAGAGACAGAGAGGGAGAGACGGATAGAGAGAAAGAGAGACCTGTATTGTTTCAAAAGAAATTCTCTAACTGATCCAACTTTCCTTTACAAACAAGGACGTCAGTATGTCGAAGATAAGAATATTGATGGTTATTGAATCGGAATGAATGTACCATACCGTCTCATGCACTGTTACGATCTTTCCGTTCCAACGAACTCCTGAACCAGACAAACTTCAACAGCTTGAACGTACTTTTCCCTGTGAAGTCACCGCCATTCCAGTAACTATGAGTTCGATTGTGAAACGCCCGTAGTTCGATCCCCATATGAGCCTAGAGAAAATACTAGAGGTTATTATCAGACAACAAGAAATAAAAACAGTAAAGAAGATATTTGAAACGAGAAAGCGAAGAGGAAGCTACAGTGAAAACGAAAGTCAAGAAATATGATTTTAGGATTTTAGGCAAATCTTTGAAAAAGTACGCGACACGTTTACAACCTTAGTGACGTGCACTGGTTTTACCGAATATTGTCATAAAATTAATTTTGAGGGGAATATAACTATGATTTAACTGATTTCGAAACCCTATATATATCGCTCTTTTTATGGCCGGTGTTCGCTGTTAGATAAGAATTTGCATATTTTTTGTTTCACCAGATTTATCCTCCGAACGACTTTCTCACACAACAACAATATTGACTTCCGGTGAACTCCAATGTACGCACTACGATTTTTCCCCAACACAAACTAAGGTACAATTTTTCAGATGACTGACAAGAAGTTTAAAACCGACTTGTTCGGAACCTTTCGACATGCCTCTTATAGCGTACAGAAAAATGAACCGAATGGTCCATCTGAACCACCCGCAACGACATATCCATCCACTCCTCTCATGGGTATCTTGAAGCTTCCGGTTAGTAAATGAAGCGTCTTTTCTAGGAGGTCCGAGCAAGGAGGACAAAAAAAATCTAAAAGATTATCCATTAACTCCCGATAAGGCAACTGGCGGTAAATCCCATGGATCTTACGATCTAGTGGAGTCGAACAAGGTTCCAGAAAAAAAGATGTCTACGGGTGTCAAACTGTAATGTGAAACATGGCTGATATGTGATTTACGATTTCCTTTTAAGCTTTCTAGCCACTACTTGCGTTTGTTTCCTCATTCTTTTCCTTCTTGTTGGAGTTTGGTTGGCTTTACACCTCGGAGGTTCGAAATAATATTTGCTTTTTCTATTTTCTCTTCAGCTGGTGATTGCAAAGGAAATAATTGTAATGCGACCGTTGAATACTCGAACCAAACTGAGAGGCTTATGATATCGAACATTCCGTAAGCTTATAGATTTCACTGTACCGGTTACACCGTTTTCTACAGCTTAACCGATTCCGACGATTCCTCAGATCTCGATCTCGATCTTGAAGAAACACTTTCGCTGAGTAGTAACGATCTTGTGTATGACGGTTCTTCCGGTACTGTCACTCTTGGAAATGAAGCTGTGGTAACCCTTAACTGTTTCTCTCGATTCACTGACGAAGATGTTGCAAGTTATAAAGCTTATGTTTCCACGTTTGTTAAGAACAGGTCTTAAATATGCCCAAACTAATGTTTCAGTGCCGAGAAGTCTTTCTCAGACGATAAGTCTCAATGCGAATCAGTGGAGCGCTTTCTCGCATCCAAGAAACAAATCGCCTTCTTGAACGAGAAATTCAAACCTAACGTTGAATTTGGTCTTACTGTATTCACTGACTGGACAGAAGTCAAGAGAACAGAGGTAGGTTACCTGTAGTTTGACAAGTCGAAATGACCATTGCAGATGGGAACTGAGTCTACTACTTCAAATGATTTTGAAGAAAAAGCCATCCGCATAGAGAACCCTGATATTAGTGATGTAAACTATTTGAGAAACACTTACGGTGTGGAATTCAATGGTAATGTTCCCGAGTTGGCTTCTGATCAGCATAAGTTCAGATAGTTGTTCTCCCAAGCTCAACATAAGAAAGGCATTAAGAAGGATTTCCCAGAGTATTAAAAAGAATATTATGCCCCGGGATCTACCAAAAGAAGATTCTGTTGGATGTGGTGTAAGCAGACAACAATAGTTTTTGGGTAATTTTTATATTCTCAGGTGGATGAAGGAGTCTATCAAATCGTGGTCAACACAGGTGATGACGAGAAGGATCGCGAAAATTTCACTAACTGGCTTCTTACCAGAGGACCTTTTGTCACAAACCTTATAGTGCCTGACAGTTTCTTTGATTACAAGAATGGAACTTTCAGCGCTGAGATGTGTGCTAAGGACTTCACCACAATGGTTTATGTAATTGTAGTAGGAAACGGTACGGCCAAAGCTTGATCTTCGTTCAATTGATACTCATTCAGGTGAACGCGAGGACAAGAAGACTAACACTAAAGTGCGATTCTGGCACATTATGCCAATCGGAGAGATCTGGAAGGATTGGGGTAATGGAGGATACATGAGGCTGGATGTGAATGCCTGCATCCCACCTAACAGAAACGGAAAACTTATAGCTTACTTAGACTAAATTTGATTAACTTTACATACATATATTCACTCATTCTGATGTTACAAACCTTTTCTGTCTTGATGCAGTTTTGTTATTTTTGTTATTCGTTGTTTTGTTGTTTCTTTGATAAATTTGTTTTCTTGTTTTTTCCATTCCATCTACACAGTTTAATGGTTTTCTCCTATTCCCAATCCTTTTCTGATTTCACATGTCTATCTTAATGTCTGAATTTCAGAGATGTCGGATAAGGAGTCCCGTTATGTAATGATCTATTTTGAGTACTGTAATCAGTATGACATAATCGAATTGCCGATGGCCGTTGCCAAGGTAAGTCTACGTTCTCATGGTCTCAAGTTCATCGTGGCATCCAGACTTATCGAAAAGGCGCTGGTATATGTATAGAGTATAGTAAAGAAGAAGGTGGATGGGCTACGGGTAAAATTCTCCAAATCGGAACTAAAGATCAAGTTGAAAACGGAGTACTTAGCAGTTTGGTATGATTGCCTTAGTGTACCCCTGCCAATAATTTTCAATTTGTAGACAAACGAAGCTGCACGAAAAAAATACTTGCAGAAGGCCGCTGGATCATTTGTAGAGCTGGCAGAATAGGATTTTCAAATTTCCATTTAATTGTTATAGTTTTTAGAGTTTACATTGTTAATAAAATTTTACTTTTCTGTCTACTAGTTGCATCGAACTACTCTTTTGATTCATCCTTCTTCTTGCTCTCCGAAGTGTCCTTCTGTTCTTCTTCTTTCTTCTCTTCTTCCTTCTTTTCTTCCTCCTTCTTTTCCTCATTTTTTTCTTCGTTCTTCTCTTCACCTTCGTTCTTGACGGCTTTCACTTCTTCATTCTTATCCTTCATGTAGATGGCTATAGAGAAGTGAAACTCTGTCTTACTTTTTCCGCTTCTGTTTCTTTCTCGAACACAACAGGAATTCTATGCACACCCTCTGGTTTGGATTCGGCAGTCCACACCTCACGAGCAGTCTTCTCCATATCATCACATGCCATATGATATATGGCAAAGTAGTGTCCAGAAGGATCTTTCAAGTTTTCTAGCTTTGCAGTGATCTGAGAGACTCTCATGAACAAAGCGACGGAAACCAATAAAGTACCACAACAGTTGCTGTTTCCCCTGCTTTGATGAAACTGAGAGGATGACGAACACGGAAAAGACTATTATCTGTGCATTTAACCTGCGGATACGTAGATGTAAGTCAGTTGACCCAAACAGATTACCTTGATGGTTTGGCGATTTTCCAAAACATTCTTCACTTTTAACTCGAGAACAACGGTTTTCTCATCCTTGTATTTGAATACAAGTTTATCTTCAGGTTCAGTCTGTAAAAATAAAATTAAATCAAAACTTTCAAGGGGAAACCTTTAGTTTGAAGGTGAGTTCTGTCATTACGAATAATAACTACAAATCCGACCGCCTATCAGCGAACGCTATCTAGCAATGATCCCACGCCTAACACGTAACCCACGTACTGCCACGTGAGAACACACGTCATGAAATAAGAAAAAAACTGTTTTTCCGAAAGAACTTGTGTGCTTGCAAGGAAGATATGATATCATCGTTTGTTGTGGGTACAAGTATGAAGTGCTCCGACTAGTGCACAGATTTGAAGAGAAAACAAACAGAATCTTTATTGAAAACATAATTTCAACAACTTGCATGTAAGAAACAGATTTGATTCAAACATCAACCGTTCTGTCACCATATTTTTCTGTAAACTGAAGGATTCTCACGTAAGTTGCGAGTCATTCACACACAGCCCTACACTTGAGCCATGAAAAATATGAATTTCCCTTCTGTGTTCTGAAATGAAAACATTAACTCTGCTCGCGCTGCAAAGTACATATAAGGCAAATAACTAAATCAGCAGGATCGACTGATGACATGATCGACAAGAGAAACGAATCAAAAAACGATGTGTTGCCTTCAATTTATTAGAAATACGTTTATGTGCGATTGGAGAAGAGCGACGACGATTAGTATGAATATCAAACGGGTTACAAACACCTATCAAAAACAGGGGAAATATACAATATATGACAATTCTGATGACAAAAAGTGTATGGAATGTTTCTTTCGTTTTCAGCTATACAACTACGCGTAATGTGAAAGATAGTTTTGTTTTCTTTAAGTGAAGTTCGAAATAACAAAAGTTCTGAAAGTTAATAAGCATTCACAAACCTCAATGGTTTTTAGACTAAAGTATATGGAACCCGAATAAAGATTGAGAGAGAGAGAGAGGAGAGAGAGAGATGATGAGATATTGATAGAGTGAGAGAGAGAAAAAGAGGTGAAGAGAGAGAAGAAGCGTTCCTCTACTTCACTAATGTCCTGAAAAGAACAAAACTGCTTCGTAACTGATCAACTTTAAACACGAACAATGGTTTTGATCGGATACTCAGCTTAACAAGCATAAAGACTTTTTGGATGTAGATTTGTCAATATCCAAATAAAGGCAATGAAAATAGAATATTGACAACAGATATCAGCAAATCTATTAGTTGCTGACATCCTCTTGTTGTCGGCTTCTTCGTATAAAATGAAAGAATCTCTAAATTTCAGCTAAAAAATCCCTGATCTCAAGATACGTCACGTGCAATTTTTTTAGTAAGAACATGCAATTTGGGCTATAGTTAGTAGTCAGTCAGCTAAACGGAACGACAACGAGATTTAGCCAAATTCCGCGGACATCCGTTCATATACAGGATTTCCAATAGCTCATCTTCGTCGTAATCACATTCCATGCCTGACAAGCTCTGGAAATATTGCGTTTTGAGTCAGAAGTTGAGGTGTCAGATAGGTACCTCATTTTTCGATCCCTCATCGAAGGCCGTATTCAGATGGTCGTCTTCATCAGGCAGCTGAAAGTAAGAAAGACGGTTGAATGAACTTTCGTTTGTCGCAATTCTTACGCTAATCGGAGATGTTCGAACAGAGTAAATGTCACCATGTGGCTCTGTATCTTTGCCGAAGGATGAAAAAGAAAAATCTAATGAAATCTAAAAACAAGCGAATGAAAAGAGTAATATGGGGGAAACCTTACATCATCAGGAAGTGTAGGATCAGTCTGATTCAAGTCAACTCCACTATCCATAGAACATAACGAGTTCTATGAGGAAGTACATAATAGAAGAATTGCCAATAAACAAAAATACCTGAGGATTAGAAGAGTTCGTCCATTGCTGATAACAACTATATTGGTTTGGTATCACAAAATTGTTTAGATCAAAGGTTGGGCTAGGTGATACATAGTGATGTGTTGTTGCTAAAGCTGGAGCAGCTAAATGGGTTTGTTGATAAGGCGGAAAGAGTAAAGATTGACTTGGAAGTATATATGGATTCTGAAGAACTGGTAATGAAGGCCATCTGAATTAAAAATTAAATTTTAGTTTTTTGTAAAAACCAATTGAAAACGTTCGATTGGTTAAATTGGACGAACCTGTTCATCATAGCTGCCTGATGATGCTGTCCATTAGAAATGGGATGAAGCTGAGAGTTATAAATTGGATATCCATAATAAGGTACAAACATTCTGAAAGACTATATTCTTATTACAATTGGATAGCAAAGAACAGAAAAAAGATAAGAACATGAAGAGAGAGAGAGAGAAAGAGAGAGATGAAGTAAATGCGGAACAAGAGATGAATTCAAACATAGCTTACAGATTAGAATACCAAAGAAGCAGAAAAAACCTTTGCACGCCAAATCATCCGTCGAGGAAATAAAAAAACAAGGATTTGTTCATAATTTTTGATTAAAAATAACATAATTAATTACGAAAATGTATTGATTTAGCCAAAAGCACATAACTCTCTCTATGGAGGCTCTTACAGACAAACTTGGCGGCAAGTTTAAAAAGTGAGAAAGAGGGTGATAGTAAAAGGTGGTGGAGGGGGGGGGGGTAGAAAAGAGAGAGAAACAAGAACAACTACTCATACACATATATACATAGAGAGATAGACAGAAGTAGGGAGAGAGGGAGAGAGAGGGAGAGAGAGTAACAGAAAAGTTTTTTTGCAAATCTATTTATTTAAAGAAAAAATAAGAAAATAACATGAAATTTGATGACAATGAGAGAAGAAATGTATTATCTACCTACAATCAATCTCTCACTCTCTTACTCTATCTCTCACTCTCTCTCAGCTGTTCCATTCAACGAAATGCAATCATTTGGTTGGAAAAAAATACTTTTTTTCTTTAATTCAAATAACTTAACTCGACAACTCAAAAACCTCTCTTAAATACAAATTATGAGAAAAATCAATAAAAAATGAAAAAAAAAAAGATTGAAAATCACAAAAGGCAGGGTTGAGAGAGAGAGAGATAGAGAGAGAGAGAGACAAGATATCAGAAAAGGTCATGACAGTTGTCTTCTCGGCACAGAGAGCAGTAAGTAACTAAGTAAGCAGCAGTAGCAGCAATAGCAGAATCATAGTTTGAACTATAATCATAACATTTCCTTTTTCGTTCCATCGCTCACTTTTCCCTTTATATTCTGTTTTTATTTTCTCAACAAAAAACATAACCAAAAAAAGACACAAAAAAAGCCAACAGAATTCCGCCAATTACATTTTTATTTTGTGTCGACAAAGCGACAACGAACTACGAAAATGGATCGACATCGATTTGGTATTGATAATGAATTTTCTCATACACTGCCATATTTGGTAGGAAATTCACAAAAAAATCATTGATTTATGCAAATGTTTATGCGTTTTTTGTTCTTTTGTCCTCCACCCTCCCTCCCCCCCCACTCCGTTCTCACAATCCGCTTCATACACATACACCGCCATGCACACCCGTGCTCTCTCGGCTATTTCTCGCATCTAGTTGAGAGCGAGTTCAATCTCTTGAGGATTGGCGATCAAACTCTGTGATCTGACACCTGGACATATTCTATAAAAAGATTTTGTTGCCTCTCTCTCTTTCTCTCTCTCTATCTCTCTAGGCTACTCAGAAGTTCCGCTATTTGAAAGAACAAGCATGCATTTCATGAAAAGGCTAAGAAGATAACTATATGATAGAGTAGCAACAGCGCGAAGTAAGAGAATGTCAAGAGAAATGTTCAACTGAATGATTGGAATGGCGTTGAACCAATGAAAAATTAGGAAAAATGTTTCCGTAAATGCCAATAACTTTGGTGCTTTGGTTAAATTCCATGGCGAATAAGCCAGGCCTGCAATGGGCTATAGGCAAGTCATTAAGATGTTGTAATTAACTGACAGAGTGTTAAAATTAAAATAATTTTTATTGTTTTGTATGTATGTGTTAAGTATAGAATTTATACAAATTGACTAAGATCTATGATTATGTAAATTGAGTGATTAAAATAAAAATTACAAGAAGAGAGAGAGAGGGAAAGTGATGGGGGGGGGGAGGAAGGTGATGGTTGATGATGAGATGGAAAAATGGAGGGACGGGCAGTATAGTGATGTATGTTGTTTGTTGTTGACTGTGAATGGATGAAAGAGAGGCGATATGAGTTATAGAAAGCTCGAAGAAATGGAAAATCCATCATATTTCAATATATAAATAGATAATTGATTTATAAACTTCATGAGCTTAAATCTTGTTTTTGAATGAGTTCATAATATTTTCCTCGTTTTGATAGCAATTGGGAATGTGTTCCACTTTCTCTGTAATTGAATCAATGCTCATATATATATATCTATATAGTTATAATAATATATACCTTACTCTACCATTTTCAACATAAATTATGAGATCAGCATTTTGTATACTTGACAAGCGATGAGCAATCGTTATGCACGTTCTTCCTTCTCTGGCTTTGTCTAATGCTTGTTGCACAGCCTACAATTCAAAATGATTTAGAATTTTCTCTATTGTTTTACAATTCTGATGACAATAACCAAATATTCATATTCTCTTTTGGCTCTCGCACACAACCGTTCAGTACGAACTCATTTGAATTGAAATGATGAATGACGTTATCACTGCAACGTCATTCACGTCATTTACGTCATCCACGTGAATCATTTCATTTATTTAATTTTTTTTGTTCGGGCACTTCATACGTTTATATACTCTAACACTTTTTGACTTGTACTTTTCATGAAACGTACACGTTCGCTCTCCGAGTCTAATGCACTTGTCGCCTCATCCAATAGGAGAACAGCGGGATCACGGACTATTGCACGCGCAATGGCTATTCTCTGCTTCTGACCTCCTGATAACTGTGTTCCTTTTTCTCCAACCTCTGTATCCAAGCCCTACAACAGAGAGTATGTATGAAGTGTTCATATATTTTTTTTTGTTCTTTTCTCTTTAAATTACTTGTGGCATGGAATTGACGAAATTGCTGGCATTTGCCGTCTCAAGCGCTAATCGTATTTGGTCCTCTGACACATCTTCCATTCCGAATTTGATGTTGTCTCTGTACAATTTGAATGTTTTCATGTGATTAAGTTTTGCGTTACCGAATTGTTCCAGCGAATAATCTCGGTTCTTGACCGACAAGAGCTACCTGTGTACGCAAATGATGCAATGACAACTTCTTAATGTCATTTCCATCGACTCTCTGTAATGTGAACAAGTTAGGTCATTCCCACGTTTTCAATTCATTCTCTCTCTTCATTTTCACACTCACCACAGCTCCAGCAATTGTATCGTAGAAACGTTCTATCATTGAGATTACTGTACTCTTTCCTGATCCCGATGGTCCCACTAAAGCTACAGTTTGTCCCTGAATTTATTTTTTCATTTTAAAATTAAAATAAAATCTTCTTAAATACTTTACGAGCAGTGAATGTTAAGCCTCTCATGACAGCTTGATGTGGACGTTGTGGATAAACGAAATGCACATCTTGGAATAATATATTTCCACGTAATTTCTAAATTTGTATTTGACTTTGCTACGATTAAGCAGTGGCCTTACCAATTTCTCTCCTGTCTTATGATCTCCCGTAGCTGATTTGCGTGTGATTGTATTGAATAACATTCCCGAAGCTGTTTTGGCTTTAACAAACTCTGGGAAGAATGAAGTGCAATTCATAATTCCTAAACAGGAAAGCATAGTTGCTAGTATAGCTCTATAACAGTTAATGGATATGAAAGATGAATATCATATTGGTCTTATACCGATAGACACTATCAGTTGGATACAAATCCATTGAAACAATATGAATGCCTAAAGCATATGCACATCCCAAAGCAAAGAAGATGAATGATTGAGTAATACTATAGTTGATAGCTGAAATGATAAAAGATATAACTGTTTCTGATGAATGTAGTTGTAGCACCTTCGAAATATCCTTTGAACATTTCATCTCGTTTTTGACTTTTGGATGCTGTTTGATATTTTCCAAAAAAGTAATTTTCACGAGTAATTAATTGGATTGTTCTTACATTCTCAATTATTTCAATCGAAAACTGAAAATTGAAAAAAATAAAAAATGATTATGTTTTAAATTTCTTTTACTTTGCCCGCTGGATTTTTCCTCATCAATTTCACATTACGCATATGGATTGTTCGAGCCAGTATGATCATAATGACTCCCAGACATAAGCTGAAACATCATTGTTGTTCTCTCTTTATCAGCCAGATTAGATGGATGTGAAACCTCAATACGACAGCCAATAAGCCTACTGCCCAGCATGATAGCAGCGAGATAACCAAACAGATACTCCATGCCGTCACATTGAAGACGACGTACATCATTCGACCATCAATTACCTTAATTACATTGATACGTGTTGATGTGTATATGTTAGAAGACAAACAGCTTTTGTGTTTGGAGCATCTGAAGCTAATCGTGTTATCAAACGACCAGGTGCATGTTGAGGATTATCAAAATAGGCGGCGTCCTTCAAATGGAAAAAATACATTTGGGGGGGGGGGGGGAAGGAAGTTAATATCTGATTTACCTGATGCAAAATATTTCCAAACGATAATAGCCTGAACTTCAATGTCATATTCTCAGAAATGCTGCCGAATAGCATGGACTTAAAACAAAACACATTTTCTCTCTCTCTTTCTCATTATTTCATTTTCTAACCGATAGAGCATGGAATGTACAGGTAGCTAATCCAATTACAGTGAATGCTATTAGACATAAGACAAGCTCATGTTGTAACCTCCAATTATCGACATCAGCCCATTCGAATGCGCTATAGACCTGAAGATAGATTGCTTTTTACAAAGTCTCTTCCTACTCAGGTTCATCAAATGAGAAATAAACAAAACTATTTACCCAGCCAAACACAATTGATAGAATCGGCATTTCCAGTCCGCGAATTATTGCGAAACTGAATGCAATTATCATCTTTATGTAATTTCCATGTCCATAACGGTAGATTGTAAATAGACCAGCTTCAACTTTCTCATCCTGAAAATCAAACATCACGTTTACGTGGGCGCTTTAGATTACACGCAAAAGTTTCACGTGAAAATCGGGGGATTTCTGAATTTTTATTTTCAATTCATATTTTGCGAAGAGCGGTTGTTGTTTCTATATTCCTCACCGTTTCCATCTGAACGCGAACTTTTTCAGCAAAAACTTCACCGTCAACACCAGCAGCACCAGTACTAGACATGCGGTAACTACTTCGGCTGAAAGTATATCATTTAGATAGAAGAAGAGTATGAAGCTTGATTTACACAAAGCTATCGTTATCTTCTGTTGCCCTCACAAATTCTTCGGGACCAAAGTTGGACGATTCCGATACTTGTCGACTTAAGCGTCCGGTTTGAGGAGTTCTAGAATATTTTGATTTGCTTATGCCCACACGGATTCGTTCACTTTAGCATTGGCTCCTCATCATCTAAAGAAATCTCCTCATCTTTCGACTTTTCTTCTTCTTTATTAAACTGCTGAGCTTTGACCAATTGAGCGTATCGTCCATCAGCTTCAATCAGCTCAGAATGACTTCCTGAAGGAGAAAATGTGAATGTGTTTTGAATTGTAATCTTCTCTCGCCTTGTTCCAGGATGTTTCCTTTTTCAAAAACAACTATTTTATCTGCATTTCGGATAGTGGAGAGACGATGTGCTATGATGATTGTCGTCCTTCCAGCTGCAGCTTTATCTAAGGCTTCCTGAATGAATATAGTGTGTTCGCCGATTGCTCAGTAATCAGTTACTTGAACGATGCTCTCTGATTGTGCATCTAAAGCGGATGTTGCTTCGTCCAGAAGTAATATTTTCGGATTTCTAGCTAAAGTTCGTGCAATAGCAATTCGTTGTTTTTGACCACCAGATAATTGAACTCCTCCATCACCAATAACCGTGTTGTAGCCCTTAATGAGGAAATGAGCGTATCATAGCTAAGACAACCACTGACCTTAGGAAGCTTCATAATGAAGTCGTGGGCATTGGCCATTTTGCAAATTCTGACCATTTCTTTTTCGGTTAAGTGAGGGTATCCAATTCTTAGGTTTTCCTGAAACAGATGATCGCAAGTATGAAGCCTTTCAAGGATCTGCATCTTACAGATATGGTGTCATTGAACAAGTTTGGTTCTTGTTGTACTATTCCTATTTTGTTTCTAAGCCATTCAATATTTAAGTCTCTAACATCTATTCCATCTATCAGAGTCTGTAAGGAGAACCATTTCCACTGTGTCACTGTAATGTCGAACTCACTTGGCCTGATTCGGCTTCATAGAGACGAGTTAAAAGTCCAATAGTCGTTGATTTTCCACAACCACTATGACCTACCAATGCGACTGTTTGTCCCTTTTCTATGCGCAAATTTATTCCGTCCAAAACCTATGTCATAAGCTAGTTAACCAAAGATTTGTTGTTCTCAAACAGTACCTTTACATCTCGACGAGTAGGATACCGGAAATGAACATCAATGAATTCGATGTCTCCCGTGAGTTCATTCGGCTTTGTTCCAGACTTTGAGTATACATCAATTCTGGGTTTCTGAAAATAGAAGGGATGGAATTGAGGATGAAACATCACCGAGTACTCTGTCAATTGTTTGGTAGATTATGGCTGCTGCTACGCGAGCGTTCAATAGAACCATCAGATGAGGTGAAATGAGTCCCAAAAAGTATGCACCAATCATCATTGATAACACAGCTGTTATAACATTTCCTGGATTGTCTATAGTCCCTATACGGTATAAGTATCCTCCCAATCTGTAACCCCATATAACATTTCATCATTTTTTCAGATTAAGCCTACAGCAAGCCAGATCCCATAAACAGGAAAAGGATGACGTAGAAGACTCCTCCTAAGAAACCACTCCAGAAACTTTTCGTCATAGCATGCTTCTTTCCCTTTGATAGGGCATCACGATATCTTGAACACAACAATCACTTGCAGATTATCTCCATGAGCAAACCTTCCAATCATTTCTTCCTGCCCATTGAAAGCTTGCACTGTACGAATGCCCATAATGGCTTCTTCTGCTATGGCTCCAGCACTACCCACATCAGCCAATTCTTTGGAAGTAGCCTCAGCCATTTTCTGAACACAACAAACATTCATTTCTCAATTGAAGTAAATACGCAACTCTACTCATCAAACTCATACAACCACAGCTGAGGACAGCTACAGGACTCATGAATAAAGCTATTCTCCAGTCATACATAAAAGCTACTATCAATGCAGCTGTAAACATGGCAAATCCTCTAATCAACATTCCCAATTTGTCACCAATTCCTTCACGGATTCTCTCGATGTTACTGCAAATCAGAAGTTGCAGAATGTTATCGTCATCGTACAAATAGATCTTGACTGAGAAAGGGAAGAAGGATTATAAGAATAGGAAAACATCCAAAAGAGAATTTTCCACCCTGCTTTCAAAGTTTTGCAAGTTGACCTCATTGGTTTTGTCTGGATATAGCTTGAAGCTATTTATAGAATGAAAGATCTTTGAAGAGAAGTCTCTGATCAATGTTCAGCCATGGGCTTTAGAAATGGAACGTACTCGTTAAGCTGAGTTGTCAGAACACCACAGTGATTCTTATCAAACCATCCTGCGTTCTGTCTCAGTATACTCTTCATATAGTTATGACGAATCTGAGCCACCAACCGACAGCAGACATGTTGGAAACAGCAGAACTGAAGAAGGAATTGCTTGCTCAGAGTAGCACTGAGAACAGTACTTGAATGAAGTTGACGACCAAAATGAATAATCCTAAGCCAATATACAGGTAAACGTATAGAAATCCCTTAGATCGGAAAGTTGGATCATCATGAGGGACATTCAACATGATGTCAAAAACGTCTCCAGAGAAAAGTGATAAGAGAGGCTGAAACTTTGATGTCTTCTTGCTTTCCCTGGTCACGTCATACCTGTGCAAAGCCACTGACTATAGCTCCGAGTATTCCTATGGCCAACAAGAGTATGTCGAATTTGGTGCAATAACGGAACTTAAATTTTGCAAATATTTTTAGAAATCAAAATAAGAAATGTTCTCACCAAGCCGACTAGTGGGACCGGACGAGCCTTGAGAGTTTCATCTGCCAAGTCACCACTGCATGGAAAATGTTTAGATCGGATGACGATAGTAAAATCTTACCGACAGAACAAATAATTTATGAATTTATCAAACTTATTTTTCTCCACAAGTACTTCCTCTTCTTCGTCATCATCGAACACCTTTATCAGATCATAATAGATATGTTCGAAGAGAGAGGGAACCTACTTGAACAAATGATATCTTAGAGCTAGGCTTGGATGGCTCCTTCAACCCATTGACAGTAGGTTTCAGATCACCATCCTCCTTTGGAACATCTTCTGCCGAAGAAGGCGGCATGATGTTCAGAATAAAAAGTAATTCAAACTCTTCTGTTTTCTAAGTAAATCTACTTTTGTAAAAAAAAAATCTGAAACAAAGAAAGATGATGAGTGCAGGTAGAGACAGCTGAGAGCATTGGCATATCGATGAAATGGAAAGGAATTGAACTGATCATCAATGAGTTTAAATGTAAAAGTATGAAAAGGGAATCCCTTTTATACAACTCTACAAAAATTATAACGGCTTTGAATAACTAATTCAAATATCTTTTTATAATTCCGAAAAGTAGTCGTTACATACAAATGGCACAATATTGCACAATTCAACTCTTCTTCTATCTCCTCTACATTCTGGTTTTTGACTTGAATATTGACTCCCAAAACACTCAAATCACATATCATTTATTCATTTTTTCTATTCAGAATCATCGAATCAACACAAAAAAAAACTGTGTTGAGGGCAATCCGCTTGATGTGAGGTCCGAAAATGATTAAACACGACTGTCTAGTTGATCACCCAATCTCCATACTCGTTTATGGCTCTTTAATATCATTAACGGAGGTTTTCAAATGCTCAGTTGATCTGGGCTTTAGTGTTTTTCCCCAATACCTGCTTCATCATCAATCAGTTTCGTCATTTTCTTCTTTTTCATATTGTCATCATTCGCAGTTTTTATTTTCCATTTTCGTGGCATTAAAGACCTCCTCTTTGACTTTTACATTGTGAACAAGTGTAGTGATGATGTTTAAATATCTTTTTAATCTTTTAAAAAGTTGAATACAAAGTAAAGATAATGTATGAAGCCCCGAGAGAAACAGAGAGAGAGAGAGAGAAAGGGGGTATAAGAGAGAGAGAGAGAAGAGGGAAATATACAAAGAGTAAGAGAGAAAGAGAGAGGGATGGATGACAAGAACCCGTGTACTTTATGGAGAAACGTTCATATAACATGGTTGAGTAGAGCTTGAATGTCGATGTCGACTGTTCGAGAAACAAGTAATCACAATGATAGAGAGCACCCGTGTATGCTTTGAGACAGAGAGAGGAAAGTGAAACAAGGACGATGTTGCTTGTTTGTAATTAACATAATGTATGTTTTGTATAATCACAGCTAATTAATGTAATATAATTAAAATAAAGAATAAAAAAATAAAAAATGAAAAATTGGATGAAGCTAGAGAGAAGCTCTTGTATGCTGGAAAATGATGTCGCAGATGATTGAGACCATCGAGATCCCATCCTTGTAAGGCTGGTTCATGCGGAGTAAAATAACGAAAATGCTGATATTCATAGAATTTCATATTATCAAATAGATCCTGAGTATGATATTCACTGAAATGATAATGTATAAGATAGACTGTTGAGATGATGATGATGATAAGGCACAATGTGCCGACAAGGGAGAGATTGTCCTAAGGGGAGTTGGGTGCACAGGGGTAGCATGCTTCTTACCTGAAGGGAGCATTCACAGTGATATTATTACAATTGTTTTCTGTTGTGCAGATGCATGTATTGGCCTTCTTTGCAACCTTAAAATATTATTATTATTTATCTATTGGCCATTTAACATCACAAATGCTATGCTAATTGAAATATTTTCATTAACTCATAATGTGTGTGGGTGGATTTATACTTATTTATAATTTCATTCACTTTTTGCTAAAAACTCGCCCTCCAATAACAAAATATGAAAAAAAAAGAAAAATTCTTTTTTTTTTGTTGAATAGGAAAGAATGCAACCGCTCACCACACATCACAATATTAAAATGAGATTGTTAAGCACACACAGCTTTCACGTTCACGTACAACGTGAGCAACCGCGTAACCTAACATAATCAATCAGAAAACGTCAAATTTGCATAATGATATGTAAATTGATAAATATTGATGATTATAATAATAATATATATAATACTAACTTCACATAGTAATGTCTCAGTGCCTGTATCACCAGCTACGGCCATCTTCTCATTCTGTATCTTAGCCATCTGATCATATTCGCTGTTTGTTATATTCAAACATCCCGCTGTATACAAAAAATATTTATTATTCTTATGTTGTCCTGAAAAAATAAAATAAAAAATGATTTATAATGATAAAGAGAGAGATGTTTGAGATCTCAGAGATGATGAATGAAAAGGATCTTACTCATGAAGCATGCATTTCCTTGACAGGTGACTTTCGCTGTTGTACATCCAGAGACAGTTATATAACCAAGATTATCATAATCCATACAGAAGACACATCTGAATGAACTAGGAAGTTAGTATATCCATATATGTAATCATATTAATTATTAAAACATTTTATGAATATATAAATAAAGTATTTAAATAATATATTTTTCTTGTATTTCAATATTTCCCAAAAACCTACGTAATCATCCGATTGACATTGAAATTACGAAATTCTCGAACAAGAAGCTGAGTGCTATTGGCAGTAACGAGGAAATCACACAAAATGTAGAAAAGCGTTAACAATAGCGTTCGTAGCATCTGAATAGAGAGAATGCATGAGATGGGTATGAAGCGCAATGACATCAAACGAATGAGATTCAACACAAGGAGAGTTAGAGAGAGACAGCGAGTGAATAGACGAAGAAGAGGAAGAAGAAATGGAAATCATTTTTGTGTTTCATGAAAGATAACATTAAAAGCACAGGCAATGAACACAAAATAACAACATAATCGAGGCTTTTCTCTTGTTTTTGAGACGATTTATATCATGAGAGGGAGAGAGAGGTATAGAGAGCTAGACAGACAGAGAAAGAGAAAGAAAGAGAGTCACAGTGAATATATCAGGAAAAGCTGCTATATTCAGAATAAAAAATGAATGAAACGTGGAGTTGAGAATTAATAAGTAAATGTGTTGAGTGAGAAAGAAGTAGTTGAAAGGGGAAATGCCTTTTTTGACCACAAATTATAATGAAAATTGAAAATTAACGGAGAAAAGACAAAGCCAAAGATCGAAGTCATTATGCTAATCAAGTTGTTTCAATTAAATTCATATTGAATAATGAAATATCATGGAAGAAAAAGTGATGTTCCTGGATAGGCGAATCATTCCAAGTATATAGATATCAGAGAGAGCAAGAGAGAGAGAGAAAGGAGATAGTTGAGGGAGGGAAAGTCAGAGAATACAAGGGAGTGAGAGAAAGAGAAGGAATACAGGGACTGAGAGAGAGAAAGAGAATTGATAGGAGGGAATAGAAATAAAGAGAGAAAGAGAGAGAATGGAGGGAGGGGGAGGAGAGAAATGAGGAGGAGAGCCTAAATGCAATGAGGAAGACTAGGAAGACCGTCCGCTCATTAGGGACAACGCCATATGACGTATGAACTTTCACTTACTTTATACGTGTTTATCTAATACCTTCTGAATAATAAATATAATGTAAAGTAAGAGAATGCTCAAGAATTTACATAAAAAAGTTTTAATTTTGGGGAGGTAGATGTAGCATCGGCATGCATAGTATTCATTACATTATTATAATTTATATTAGTTAAAGCTTTCTCTCTCTCTCTCTCTCTCTCTATCTCCCTTACATGAGTTTGCTCTCGAAAATCCGTTATGAGTATGTGTACTTGCAGAGATGAGGAAAATGCGTTTGTGCAATTCTGAATTAAAAGATTTGGGGTTGAGGTTTTAAAAAACAGAAAATGAATTGTAACGAAATCTTTCAGTTCAGTCGTCCTTTGCAGAAATTGGAAAAAAAAAGAGAATGATGGAAGACAATTGAGTGAGAAGAGAAGAGGCTGGTGGAGACAGGGAGAAGGAGAGATGAAGACGGAGCGAATTGAATGAAAGTTGAAGATGCCGTTCATTTGAATGTTTTGAGTTTTTTGTCGTTCAAGGAAAATTTCTTGGATTCTCAAAGGTTATTTGAATAGATAAGCGAAAAGCCAGATGTGTGTGTGTGTGTGTGGTGGTGGTGCTGGTGGTGGTGGACCTGTGGGGCATAAACAGACAGGACAGCAACGCCATTTTGGTTGAACAAGGACGGAAACAAGAGAATCTTGTTAAACATTGAGTATCAAACAAAAAGAATAGAAAAGGAAATCAAAAAGAGAATGAGAGAATAAGAATAAGAAGAAGAAGGGTGAGAGAGAGATAGAGAGAGAGAGAGGGAAGCTTCAAAGAGTGAGAAAGACGATAATGAGAAGAATACAGAGAGAGAGATAGAATGAAGCTCTAGATTTCGTGAGGATGTGTCGGAAATTGTGAATAATTGCAAGTCTTATGAGTTAAAATTGAGGTCTGTGAAGTATTTTAGAATGAAAAGAAGCTTTTTCATGGCTTCATCTCATATGACACATACACACATACATATCCATATATAGTAAGTCTAAATGTTTATGAATATATAAGGAGTTGTTATCTTTGATAGCTGGTTTCTGATCATATTTGATGATTATTTCAATTTCATTCTGATTGCTTCAACTTCCTATCTAGTCATTCTCTTTCTCTCTCATTCTCTATCTCATCTCCCTCTGAGACTACCTCATTCTCTTTGTGTGTGATGAATCAACTGAAGGAATTCCATTTGTTCTTGAAATATACTTCAATTATTTGAATATATGAAGAATACAAAGTACTTTTTTACCGGAATAGAAGTTTCGGAAGGAGAAAAAAGTGAATTAAGAGAACAAGGACATCATATGAGTTGTGTTGAAAACTCAATCGAGAATATGCTTCAACTGACTGCAGACATTCACTCACATAAGTAAGTGTAAGAAAGAAAAGAGCTTTCAATCTCTTTCTCTCTATCTCTCTCTCTCTCTCTCTCTATCTCTTTCTCTCTCTATCTTTCCCTCTCTCTGTATCATCATGAAATAATTTTCTTATTTTCATAGGAAAAAACAGGAAAGCCCAGTAGGCTAACAACAGCTTGCAAATGTCAGATGAAAGAGGAATGAACTTGTTTCTGCTTTAAGAAAATAGAGGGAAATTAAGAAGTTGATGCTCATGAACATGAATGGCCCAAATACGGAATCAACTCCAAGCAGCACACACACACACACACACATACATACACACAGCCACACACGCTCACTGCTGAGAATTAAAAAGTGTCATTTACGACAGAAGAGGAGAAAAGGAAGAGAGACAAGAAGGATGATGACGATTGAAGAAGGAACGTGACAAAACCCAACAGCAAAACCTTCTAAAGGACTTGTTGTGCTTTTCATTTGAAACTTCTCCCTGCCATCCCTCCCTCCCTCCCTCCCTCATATCCATCTCTCTCTATCTCTCTCTCTTCTTCAGTTGGCGCTCAAAATTATTTAAAAGAATAAAAAAAAGGAGAAGTAAATAGAGTTTTATTCTCAAAAATAGTTATTTTATAAAATTTCCTTTAGTTCATTACATTTTTCAACAAATAATCGTTTCAAAATTGAATGAGGGGTGGAAAAAATAAGATGTGAAATTCAAAAATATTATCATCGACAAATGGCCATTCATAAACTATGCGAATAGTTAAAATTGAATTTAGATCTGTTATCGAACAGCTAAACTTCTTAATAGATTTTGAAGAAATTTAATTTTCAATTCGTTCTTTTGTGTTCACAGGGAGAGAGAGAGAGAGAGAGAGAGAGTGAGATAGAGTGAATGAGAGAATAAAGAAAATGAAAATTCAATTATATGCAACCGCTTACTATCTGGCGTTATAAGCAAAATGAAAATGGTGCTCGTACTTGGTGTGTTAACGCCATCACACACATATCTCACGTCATGTCACGTCAATTCACGTGAATGACAAACCTGGTAATTACATACACATGCATATCACATTCTATAAATAACGTTTTAGCCAATTGAAAATGTGTTGTTTGGAAGTTGAAACTAACACATTCACACAGGCAGACAGATAGATAGACAGATAGATAGACGGACAACAAAAAAAGATAAAATTGAGGAAGAAGAAGTTGGTTTGAAATCATGAAAACAGCCCATTTCATGCTTAGCTCTATGATCAGTTGATTATTTGAATTCGATTATGATGCTGATGAGAATGATGAAAATGTTATTTTTGTCATGCTCTTCTGCTATTCGCTATGCTTTCAAATGATTTTTGAACAAATCAGAATTCGAACGATGCAGGTTATGCTAGACATGACACGGATTTTTAGCACAGCAACGTCTCTTTCGTATCACAGCAGATGATTCGTTTGAAAAGACAAGAAGTGACGCCAACGAGGTGATGGCATCGAGGGAAACATACATGAACACACAAGCACATATACACACAGACACAGACACACACCAACAAGATTTCAATAAACGGCTAATAGGGTGATGAAAGAAACAAAGAGAAGTGAAAAGAGTTGTTGAAACATGGAAGAACAACATGCTCATCAGATGTTTGGCTTGAGAAATTGGAGAACTTTGTTTTCGTTTTTTTTTGAAATGTCTTTTCTAGTGAAATTATAATTTCTCATTTCTGATGTTTTTCTCTCTAAACGATTATATGGTTGACGTTTACCTGAGGCTTCATAATGGCAGATAACTATCGATGGACAGATGTCCTTAAACAAACGCCTACGATTAGGAGAACGCATAGATACGATGAGAACGTATGAATGCGAGCGACACATGGTGTGCGGAAAGTGTGTTATGAGCTCATTTGGGCTCATTTGAGAAGTTATCGTGATATTCATAGCGACGCAACATAGTAATTTGATATGAGAGCAGAATTCTTAAAAGAAAACGTTGAAAAGGACAGTCAAATGTCCTTTGGTTCGCCTTTTCTCGTTTGCAAATCATAATAGATAGTAACCACGTAGATATACGATTTCGTTCTTTGACAAACTGCTGCGTCTGAATCAGGAAGTGCTGTAGAAGCACTTAAACGAGCATCATACATGATCCATATATGTACATGTATGGGTCCAGATATTGTTGGAGATATGAGGGGGAGGATAGGAATGGATGAAGACAGAGGATAGAGAGAGAGTGAGTAGAAGAGGAACGAATCAAGTAAAAGTCATTTTGTCTTTAAAATTTACATTTGAAATACATAAGTGAGCATGTTTTGCAAATAGTAAATTCTCAAGAAATAATAACAAATAGTGTTGTGAAGGGAGTCAAATCAACTTTCGAGACTGAGAAGGTAGTCAGTCAAATTTCACATAAATATATGGATATGTAATGTTAAAATATGAATGTTTTATCAATAAATAATAAGAAGACGAGCTTCAATGAGAATCCTCTAATTACCATTTGAGGTTAGGGGAGGAGGAGGAGGAGTAGGAGGAGCTGGAGAAAGTTTTTTTTTTTTTTTTTTTTTTTTATCAAAAATATTTCCAGCTTCCGTTGCTTTACAATGCATCCCATAATAAATTCTGAGAAAGTTGGAGATAATTCACTGAAAATCGGATGAAAAGCAAAAAATCCAAAAGGGAACTCAGAGATTATCCAAGTTTTACAATCAAATCTCGTCGTTGGAGTATAGATAGTTCAACACAACTTGTCAACAATACTCGTTTCAATCTGAAGCCTATGAAGCTGCTGCTACTGCTACTGCTGCTGCAGTGACGACCATGATGACACAGATGAAGAGGAGGAAGAGAAGGATTCTGGAAGGAGCTGGTGGTGCTGCTGATACTGCTGTCTCTACGGACTACTAGCCGTTGTCTGTGTAATTGGGTAATTGCGAGATGAAAGTCCTAAAAATAAACAAAATATGAATTAAATCTGAATTTCCTACTAGAACAGATGAGAGACAATAGACGAGAGCGAAGAAGCCCTGCTGTCTTCCTTTTCGTCATTATTTTTGGTAGAATGAACATATTTTTGAAAAAATTGATAACACTCTTGCCAAAAATAGAAAAAAGTTGAATTTGGCCATAATTAGAGAGCAAGCGAAGAGTAAATGTTTCGAAGACTGATGCTTTTATTTAGAAATGCTTGACTCAAACAAACTCTGTTTTGCATTTGGTTTACAGCGAGCGAGAGATTAAACATTATGAATTGTATATGGGTGAGAGGCTTTTTCTGAATACAAGGTTCAATTGGACCTCTCATAATTACGGAACACATTCATAACTGTCCTTTGCCCTTCCGGTTAATTAGTTTCGCTTCTTTTCACAATCCATCAGATTTGAAGAACAAAGCTTCTTCCGATCCTCGAAAACACCGATCATGCGGCTTTCAATAGCTTTCAACATGAAATTTCGATATAAGTATCGTTTATGTAAATGGAATTATGTATTTCCCTTCAAACATATAATACAGTTATACATGTTATTTCAAATCGCAATGCTAGCTCTTTTAATTATATTATAACGAGACTATGCAATTCGCTGAGTTTTCGGATACGGTAGTGGGGACATACGTGAAAATCATTCCAAACCGGCGTCCTTGTTGCGTACGGCGTGAGTTATTGGAGTTTTGAATTTCGAATGTTACATGTTATAACCTGGTGATGCTTTGATCGTTAAGATGACAGAAAATGAAATATTTATTCATGTTAAGCTTTCTAAATACTAAAAAATGATTTAAGGAAATGATGGAGTCTGATGAAGATGATAGAAGGGGCCGTGAGAAGTTTGTCCGAGAACGCGACCATAAAAGAGAAGACGATAGGTGAGAGTCCATCTTCCGGAAACAATTTTGAGTTCTTCTTCAGATATAACGGAGGACTCAAAAGATCAGGAAGTCGTAGGGAAGAGTACAATGGCTCGAAACGTGGCCGTCTAGAGTACGCTTTATCGTTTGTTAACAATTGCTTAATGTTCCATCGTTTGCAGTTCGGAACATGACCGTGACGAGGGGGTCCTGCTTTCTTTCAAGAAGTTTCTACTTACACAGGTACAGTTGTTATGTTAAACCTTTAACAAATAGTGCATTCGTTAGGAAGACGATATCACCGATGAACAAGCTGTTGCCAAGTACAACGATTACAAGGTTGAGTTCAGTAGAAAGATCTTGCAAAAGTTCTTCAACGCACACAAAGACGAGGAATGGTTAGCTTTCCCAGTTACTGTTTTAATTTATTTCGGTTTCATTAGGTTCCGGCAAAAGTACCATCCGGACGAAGTAGCTAAGATATCCGCTAGCCACATAGAGTCCGTAAAGAAGAGATTAGACATTTTCGAGGATCTCAGATCGAAAGGAGCATTTGACAATGTAACCTTAGATCAAGAACATACACAAGATATTATCAAAATTCTTGACTCAGGTTTGTTTGCAGTATGTTTGAACTGTAATACATCATTCTTGCAGTTGTTGTCCTGTTGGAGGGAGGAACGAATGATGATTTAGAGGCTTTGAAAAATGAAACACTTGATGATGATGGTGTCTCTGATACCGAAAAACATACGAAAGAGGAAAAAACTGAGTCTTCTGATGAGAAGCCAGCTGATGGGACAGTATCGGAGGCTGACGGTTTTTGAATTGTACTTTCCGTACTCATAGCTTCATCGTTCAGAGAATGACAAGAAGAAGAGCTCATGCCTTCATAAAACATCTTCGATTTTCATAAGAAACATCCCTCCCAACGTAACCACAGAAGAACTTGAAGCTGTAAGTCATGAGCTATATGACAGAGAACTATTTTGTTTTGCAGTTGTGTAAACGAAGTCCAGGCTTCCTAAGATTAGCTTTGGGAGATGCTGCTTCGGACAAAAAGTTCTCTAGAAGAGCTTGGGCTACTTATAAGAGGGACGTTAACATCAAGGAGATTTGCTGGAACATCAATAACGTTCGGGTATGCTCTGCTCATATTGGATAATGATTCTCTATTGGTAATATTCAGGTTAAAGACTCTGATCTCAGTGCTATCATAAATCGCGATTTGACCAGAAGGTTGAGAACTACTAATGGTATTACTGCTCATAAGCAAGTTGCTTTGAACGATTTGAGAATCGCTGCTAAGGTAAAGAGTTACCATGAGTTTTTATATATGCGTTCGTTCAGCTTGCTGCTATATACGATAAACGCCTTGGACTTCACGGAGATGAGGGTATTCCAATGGAAGAACGGTTGAAAGACATCCGGATGGGTGTTGATTTGATCGGTAACAGTAAGAACCCGCTTGTGAAACAGGTATGGAGTAGGCTCACACGTTTCATATACCAATAAGCTCAGGCTAAGATGGTTTTGATGGACACCGAAGCAGAAGAAATCAGTCCTGAAGAGGAAGAGCTGCTTCGTAAGTGTCTATGGGCAGTTCGCTTTGATTCATTTTATTGAAACAGGTCGCTCCGGAGATTCTAGTGGAGGATCCGAAGAGAAGGGCGTCTTTACCAGAGAAGAAACAGTATTGAAAGCTCTTGATAAGCTAGTTTTCTACCTTAGAGTCGTACACTCCGTTGACTTTTACGGTCATTTGGACTACCCCAACGAGGACAACATGCCCAGCAGGTATACTTGTTAGGAAAGTGTTGAGCTGATCACATTGTACAGATGTGGTATATTACACGTCCGTGGACAAGCACCTAATGGTACACAATGGGGAACCTCAGATGATGGCAAAGCTCTGGTGTCTAATAAGTTTATAACGGTATGCTTACCAATCTCCTGTTAATTAATCCGTTTCTTTAACTTATAGGATTTCATATCTGGCTTCAATCAAAGAATCGAATTGCATTTAGTTCATACTGACTACATAACTGACGAAGAGCTGGCTAAACTAGGCAAAAAGGATGGAGAAAAGTTTGTCCGGAAAGTAAATCCGCAATCAGATTTATTCTTTCAGAGAAGTTGAGCTCTTCATTGAAGCCAATACAGTTGAATTGGCCAAGGACAAATGGCTGTGTCCCTTATCAGGAAAGAAATTTAAGGGACCAGAGTTCATCAGAAAACATTTGTTGACCAAACATGAAGATAAACTGAATGAAGTGAAACAAGAAGCCGAATTCTTCAACAACTATGTTGCTGACCCCAGAAGACCCTCAGAGCCTGAATCCAAAGCTGCTGCAGCTACTGGAGGAAGAGAAGACGATAGGAGAGATGACCGTTATCGTACGTCTTTTCCTTTTCTGATGTTATATATTTCAATCTTAAGGTTCAACTGAACGTTCACGCGGTCCTGCCTCTCGAGGTTATGGAGGTTATGGCGGCGCTGGCCAGCCTCGAGATTATGGTCGCGGCGCTGGTGGAAGGTAAGAGCACGAATGGCGTGTATCATGTGGCTATTGCGATGTTTCAGGTATTTCGAGGACGCAGGTCGTCGTGAATCCAGACCTCAAGTATCTTATAAAGACTTAGATGCTCCAGATGACATTGTTTAGTAGATTTGAAATATCTCTTGGTTGTAATTCCTAAAATCTGGTCTCGCGTCTGTTTGGCGCGGCTCCGTATCAACTCGTTTGTTATGCGTACAATTAATCAACGTTGTTTCCTACTATAAGTTGGTTTTGTTTATTTATTACTATGTTGTCGTTTAACTTTCCTTGACCGTTAAATTATTTCAATAAATTGTACTTGCATATTTCCCATTTATCTTATTGGCTCATTGAGGATGAAAGATCGTCCAAGATGCAACAAGAGGTCGGCGAAAGTTGAAACTGGCTGGGCGAACGAGATAAAAATTTTCTTGTTTCTTGTAAATATTAATTTGTAAATTATTATTTTAAGGTACTTTAACGGGCATCGTACATTCAAGGGCCCCTACTTAGAACGAATATCGATAGAGAAGCCAACACTTTCATGTTTTTACAGCCAGAGATAGTGGATGACCTAAGAGGTTTCGTCCGGATTTCTGCCCTATTAAGTTCCGTTCAGATTTCTCAGTGTGTTTCATATGAAACATACGTTTCTAAACTAATGTTGCCATAATTTGTTTTCCAGATTCTTACATGTATCACATCTTTGTCTTTCTTTTGCTATGTCCTGCGCTCAGTTTTTCCTGTGCCGCCACAAGACAGAGCGACGATACCGTGACTACGACTGAGACAGCCGGTTAGATCTTCCTATGGGTTCTTGTGTAGTCTTATTCTCTTATTTAGTAACAACCACCACAGTCGTAGATGATACTACCACAGTCGTGGACACAACCACGGTTGTTACAACTACCGAAGTTGTGACAACTACCGAAGTCGTGACTACTACCGAACTCGTAACAACTACTGAGGTGGAAACAACAACAGTTAGTAAGTGCATTTTAATATACACTCTTTCAAAGTTCTTTAAAAATATTCTGAAAAGAGCGACTCTGAAACAGTCATGCTGATGCTTAAAGTCTGCTTCTTTATCTTTTTTTTCAGTTATGTGCACAGCAGGTGGAGTGAACATCATCCAAGTAGACGATGCAGCCACTGACTTTGAGTCTGCTACCATAGTTACGGATGGAGTAACAGCAACTTACACACTCGTTTGCTCCGGAAGTGATAATTCTGTGACCCTCATATCGGTTCGTGAAACTTATTTTCTTCTTCTCCCGTTCATGATTAGTATAACCTTTAAAGTTCATAGTTTGATTCTATTAGGATTTTTGGAATTTGTTCGAATCTCGTTTAAACACTCAAGTTTGAATCTGTAGGTCAGCCCGTTCCGAATTAACATCGGCGCATTTTAAAAGGCCAATGCCTCTGTTTATTCTTAGATGAACTTGATGACGTCCGCTGACCGGCACTCATTCATAGACTCACTTGATTGTTTCTCTTATCGTAAATGGTCATAATTAAGATTGAGTTATTCCACAACCTATAGAGTGAAGTGGAAAGTGAAATTTCGTTTATTACATTCTTCTGATTCCGTCAAGTTCAACTTCGACTGAATGTTTCTAAAAGTTCTGCTGTGTCTAATAATCTCACAAATCATTCCCCTCATAAAATCTTTTTCCTTATCAACTCGATTTCAGCTAAACATGGATGACGCAGGAACTATTCAAGAAGGAACATCGTCCACAGCGGTGTTAACCTGCTCAGAAGAAGATGGAATTTGGTATATGAACGGTGTGGCTATTGTTGACATCGAATGCATTGTTTATGAACTTTAGATCTCTATATTACGTCTTTATTTCGTTCTCAGTATTATTGAGAGTTGTTTTTTCGTTAATTCTTCTCAAATTGACAGATAGAAGCGCTAATGAATTATTTTGTTTAGATGTTTTTGAATTATATCACAATCGGCTTTCTATTTTGGCTGCAGATATACTATACTCCCGTTGATGTTGACGCTTGTGCTGCTACTGGTAGTCCAGGAACAGTTACAACTACAACGGAGGCTCCAACAGGTGCATGACTTCCGTCCAGCCAATTAACACTAGGTACCTTCAGAATGCGGATCCTGTACCTTAGACAATCCAGCAATAGAGCATGTCCAGAATGGTGATGGAGCTAAGGATATTGAAACTGATGTAGTAACTATTGGAGCTGATGGATGTGCTCTTCGCACGTTTACATGTTTAGGGACTGGTCCTGGCAGTACTGTACTCCTTGCGGTGAGAGCTATTTGATCATAATGATATATTTCTATTCATTTTAGTGGAATGATGATGCCGCTGGAATAACTCAGGGTGTTACTGGAGCCAATACTGTAACAGATACATTGACTTGTAGCGATGATGGTACAAATTGGATTCTCACACACATCATCAATGGTGTAGAACAAAGCAGACCTATAACTAGGGTAGAATGCGTGGCTACATAGAATTATATTTTTATTTTTGTTAATAATATATATATATATATATTTATGTAATTCTAATAATCTGAGTGGTCATAAACTATTTCGAAAGTGTTACAAACCTTTCTGACCCATGTAAAGTCGGTTTTCCGCATGAATTGTATTTCCTCCCGATTATTACGCCTTGGCTCAATGTTTCATTTTGTTATTACATGAACTTGTGTTCCCACAAATCATTCTTAATTCTCATAAACAATGTCGTCTGGTTCTCGATCTCGTTCTTTGAATCGGGTTCGTGATTCTAACACTACTACTACGTCACGTCGTCGGTCAGCAGTGGCCCATAAGAAGCCGAGTATACAGAAAACTGTTCCAATAATGACGTTTCCAACGGTGGTTCAGCAACAGGATCCTTTCGCTAAGGTGTGAATTTAATTTAAAGTATTGAATCTTCTAAAGGGAAAGAGAGTTAATCAGCACAGCTGTTTCATTCCTGATTTCATCCACTTGAGACTAAAGACCGAACATGCAGGTTGGATTAATCTTTGAGTTTTACAGTTAGATCCTTACGTTCTATCCATCTTCAATAGAATTTTCTCAGGAAGTTTCATCAATATGCCTAAACCACTGAGTAAACTAGTTCGTGTCTTCACAAGGTTGAAAACTCAAAAGCTTCGTTGAGAATTTTCTGTTTCAGCTCTACTTTCACAGATACGACAATCGAGAGAAATGCTCTAATGGAGGAAGTATACCCAAAGCTGAAAGAGTATTGCCGAGAAACGTATGGCCTTGACTTCCAGGTTAGAAAGATCGGCTTGTTCTTTCTACTCTGAGAGTTAGGTCGTAGATATGAGGTGGGGAATCCGAGACGAAGCTACCGATGATCATATGACAACCAAACTCTGCATTAATGAGATTGCTAACTGTCAACGGTTATCTGTTGGAGCAAACTTTGTGGTTTGAATTCTTTCGAGTAACATCAGTTCAATTAGCTATTTAACGGTGTTTCTATGTCAAAAGTATGGTTACCGACCTATACCTGCAGAGATATTGGGTACGGAAATGAGATTATTATTGGATATATCCAAAGAGGACAATGAAGATGTTTCCCTCTTAGAAACGTGGCAAGTGCATCGTAGTGTTCGTGATTTGTTTGAATATTCGTACCACGTGGGCACCCTACCATAATTCACGTGACGTCACGAGCGTCATTTCATTTCGAATAAAAGTGTTGCGCGGTTGTTCACTGTCCACCAGAGTAGTTAATGAAACAAACGCCTCCTTTTTTAGGTATATCGAAGATCAAAATGCTGTGCCTTCCCTTTTTGTATTGCAAGCCATTAGCAGCATCCTTATCAATTTCAATAACAAGGTTTTCCCATCATCGTACTTCTGACACAGCTTCTTTCTCAGAGAATGCCCAAACTGCAAGAAGAAGATGCACAGAAATGGTGGGAGATTGAAGAAAAGGTACAGCTTTTACTAAGAAAAGCAGCCAGACGAGGATATGAGAAGGGACTGATAGAACATGAAAACATGCATAACTACTTTATGTCTGGCAAGTGCCTATATATAGTTTGGCTTAATCATCTGTTGAATTCCAGTAACAGAAAGAGAAGTCATTCATGGAATTTTGAAAGCTAAGAATCCCAACGAGCATTGTCTCTGTTACATTCGTCATATCAACAACATTTCCTTAACACAAATCAAAACAGCCAGCAAGTTTGTTGATATAACACACAATCATGTAATCATTTTCTGTTACACTCTGTTTCACAATTCTTTGAAGATTAACACCGAGGCTCAAAAGCTGTTAGCCAATTTACGTGATGAACGAGTTCCATCAGTTTTGAGTTCTGAACGAATCCGAAGATCCACTGTTGAATGGTTTGGACGGTAAATACCATATGAAGCGCCCGAAAATATTTTCTTTAAGAGATGGGCTGGATTCTAACTACCATTCGAGTTATATTAAGAATTTCTGCACAGATTTTTATAAGAGTATTACATACATGGTTAGCTGTCTATCCAAAAGTGCAAATGAAATATTGATTAGGTTGATACTGCAATGGAGAAACATGCCAAGTTCCGTGATCCTATGTACACTGAAGTTCTGCAACACTTGAGCAACGCTTCATATGTCAGGTTGGAAGAGGTTCAATTGTGTCTAAATTGTAAATTATAAAAAATTGTAGCGAGATGTTTTTTGGGCGCGACGAAGAACTAAGTACAATCCGTGCCTATGTAACCTCCTCCAATAATCAACCTCTCATTCTACATGTAAACTTATATCGCGAAAGAAAAGTCTGATCCAGTTTTTAGGGAGAAAATGGATGTGGAAAAACTTCTTTGTTGGCTAAATCTGCCACATTGTTCAGGAAATGGCTTCTGGATAATGATAACACGGTTATCATCATCCGATTTCTAGGAACTACTCCAGATAGTTCCAATATAACACAGTTACTCACTAGTGTCTGCAATCAAGTATTTTATATAGTATCTACATTGTTTGTAGCTATTGTTTCATTATAGATAGCTTATAACTATGATCGGAGCCAGCTGTTCAGCGCACCAACAGAGTTATCAAAACTGTTCCAGCATTTCAAACGAATTATGTCTCTTGCTAGAGAACAATCTCCATTGGTCATTCTTTTTGACAGTATCGATTTACTATCGAATGTGGATGCTGCTCATGAATTATTATGGTAGGACTGTCATATTACCTTCGTTCATCAAGTGTTTACCCTCAGGCTCCCCTCAGTGTTACCCAAAAACGTAAAGTTCATTGCTTCAATTACAAGCTCGTCTGCTGACATAATGTACAAGATGCAAAGGTTAATAGAAAATAAATCTCAGTATCTTCAAGTTCACAATCTCAGTACCGTAAGTGTTATCTGACTGTTAAAGCATATATGTTACGTATTCAGGAGTTGGCTTTCAAAGTGATTAAAGAATGGCTCAAAAAAGACAATAGAACCATTTCTGAAAAACAATGGAGTATCGTTCAAAAAGCCGTTGAGAAGTCTACTCTACCTCTGTTCATCAAACTGATATATGCTACTGTTACAAGGTTAGCTCAGCAAAGTAACTTTACTTCACCAGCCACACAGATGGAAATCTTATTCACGTGTGCAAGACACCGTTCTCTCTCTGTCAGTTCAAGATAGCATTCATGCTCTGTTCCAGCGTACAGAAAATCAGCATGGTCTGTAACAGGTTCCTCACTTGAACTCATTTTACTTTTCAGGTAAACTGTTGGTTGCTCACGCTCTGTCTTACATTACTGCAGCACGATCAGGAATATCTGATTCAGAAGTTGAAGATCTGGTATACTTACTTAGATGTAGCCACTTTCTAAACAATACGCTACCAGATATCCCTTGATGACAAAGTGTTGGATGATATATACCAGTACCATTTACCACCAATCCGAAGAATACCACCTCTACTATGGAGCAGAATTCGTGCAGATCTTGCAGATTATCTTACTGAACGCTCTGCTAATGGTGGAGTAATCGTTTTGAACTGGTCTGTTTTAGTTTGAGAAGTTTTCGATTTTAGATTCATACTTGAAGGTATCATGCTCAGTTCCGCGCTGCAGCAGTAGAAAGATATTTCAAAAACCTTAATCATCTTGAATTATGCCATTCGTACATGGCCGAGTACTTTTTAGGTGTTTGGGGTGGTATACCAAAGCCATATCAGTACACAGAAATTCAAAAACAGAGGTATGTCTTAGATTTATTGAGGGGAATGACCACATGTTCGTCAATGCAGATTCGGCGTCACTGAAAATGAAGGCTTAGCAGATCGTAAAGTACCTAAACAACCTAATGTTTTCTATTCTAAAGACGGTAGTCATCGGTAACAACGTTCTCTGAAACTCTTATCAACCAGTTTGTATTACAGCTACAACACAAGAAAGCTTAATGAACTTCCATATCACCTTCTACGAGCAGGCCGAATCGAGGAACTATTGAATTTATGTTTATTCAATTATGATTTTCTCCAAGCTAAGGTAAAACCGAACTAACTGAATCCTTATGAACCATGTTACAGTTGTGTTGCTTCCCTTTGGCTTCAGTTGTTTCTGATTATGAAGATGCTATACTACGAATCAAGGAAAAAGAAGTTGTTCGTCAATTGCACTTATTGGTCGACGCTCTCAAGCTATCTTCTAGTATCATAAGGTTCAATAATAAGAAACTCCTTCTTAATTCAACTGTTTAGCCGAGATGTTTACATGCTTGCCTTTGAATTTCTTGGGAGATTGCTTCCTTTGGTGCCTAACAACCCGCTTGTCAAAAGTCTTCTTGTGCAATGTGATGAGCAATCTTATGCTTATAACGCCTTTTTACCTGTGAACCACTGCTTCCACTCTCCCGGAGGACCTCTGAAGTATTCTCTAGAAGTTGGTTATTTTTCTGTTTGCGATTCATCAGTTCCACTTCAGGAGCACATGTTCGCTGTTTTTGGAATGAAGTTGACGTCAGACCGAAAGCTTCTAGTTACTTCTTCCAACCGAATCATTGTTTGGGATATAACCACAGGTTTTTGGGACTAAGAGTTGAAGGTGATAGTTGATTTAAGGTGATCTGACAAGAACTGTGAACCCGAATGTCGATGGAATTTTCTTTGGACTCTCTATCTCGTCAGATGATAAGTACGCTGTCTCCTATACGAACAACAATCAGGTATAATCGTTCTTTCGGACTAACATAGCTTCGGTTGCAGATAATTGTCACTTCTCTTATAACTGGAGAGTTTATAAGTATTGAGCCTTCTTCTATGACGAATCAGATGGAAATCCAGAAGGTTCGAAACGAATAGTTTGTTATTTCATATTCAGTTTAGATTGAATTCACTCATGATAAGAATATCATCCTGTGGACTTCAACAGAGTACCTGATATATTCAACTGAAGGAAAGTTGATACAGGAAGGAACATCGACTGATGATCAGAGAAAAGTTTTAATTTTGCTTAATCAAACTCTTACATGAGTCTTCTTTGTAGAAATTAGTGAACGTTTTCCATTCCTCCAGTATTCTACTTGTTCTGTCATCTTCTGGAGAAAAGGATGAATGGAGTTTATCCCTTAACGGAAAGATCAATGGTTCTTGCTTCTCGTAACTTCGAATTCGAATACCATTTATTAATACAGGGTCTGCTATTGAGTGTCCATTGTTTGATGGAGCCATTGCTTTCGAAAATGATCAGTTCAATCATGGTTACTCCTGCATCAAAAACTTGACAGGTTTTGTGCGAGCTTCATGTCTTATTGTAATTATCTTTCCAGATGGTCGGGTTACCTTCTCCTTTGTAAAGATTGCTCGAGAACAAAACAGATATTTTGTATCGGAAATTGTGTTGGACAACATGCAAGATAGAATATATTCTATACAGATATTCAAACAGATCAAAGCTGCTATCGACAAATCCATTTGGGTGGTTGGTATAACGATCGAGGTGGGAGAACTTTACTTCAAGGCTACAGGCTGTTGTATTTCAGAAGTTCTTACTTTATATGAGCAGCAGTGGTTCTCTTATAGAACTCAGTCTTCCTCTGAACATTCGTAATATCCCCATTCGACCCAATCATTCTACAACAGTTATTACATTCGCCTCTAATGATACAATTTTTGTAGCAGCTATCCGTAAACATTTATATTTTTATGGAATTGAAAGCAAACAGGTAAATGCTGGATATAGATGCGTCTCATCGCTTCCCTTACAGCTTCTAAGAGCGTTGGATGCTCATTTTGGCCGAGTTCTAAACTTGTTATCTGTTGGAAATGAGAATAATACTTTAATAACATCATCTCTGGATCATACCATCAAGGTAGCATTCTTTATACTTGAACGTCACAGGACTGTTGCATTTCCATCAAACCGGAAAGATAAGCTTACTGCTTGTACTTATTCTGTTACAGATATGGAATTTAGCTAATATCTTCGAAAAGTCTTACTCGATATCCTTCATGGAACAAGGGATCGAAAAGATACATGTATCTCAGAAGAATCCCCATTTGGTTGCTGTTCAAACTAGAAAGTCTATTGGTATTTGGGATATAAGGTATAGTAGTCATTCTCTTCCGTACTGACAGCTATTTTAGAAATCATCGATACATTACTTCATTAGTCAGGAATATTCATGGTTCTGTCATAAGTGATAGCCTTATGTCATCAGATAACAGACATGTTGTTACTATTGAAAACGACTCCTTGCTCCTCTGGGATTTGAGGACACAGTCTGTTATCCAATCAGCTGAAGTTTCAAACGTTTATCAAATTTTCCTGTTTTACAAAGAGCAATACATAGGTACTGTCCCCCTGTGCACAGGATTGAACTGTTAACAAGAAAGTATTCAGGGATTCTGTCGAAGTTAGTTGACTTGAGCGATCAGAAAACTGCTAGGTTCTCATCTTACTCACTCGTTGACTTCTCCATGTTCTATTCATTTGATTTCCCTTGTATACATTTTCGTGAAGCAGTTGTCTTGAAGGTGAGGAAAGTATTCTAAGAGTAATGAACAAGACTTTAGGATGGATTCACTGGAGTTTTTGTAACAATGTTTAAAGGACATGACCATCTACTAGTGGCGAATCTAGTGGAGAAAGTCCATATACACAAGTTCAGACCAAAAGCACCTAAGCGTCAAAAAGATGTTACTATTAGAATGATCAAAACAGTTCCACATTTTAGTCATCAAGTAGGTTTTGAAGCTAAGAATACGAATAGATTCTGCTCTTGTTCAAGCTCATCGTGCTTGAAAGTGATTGCAAAGGTGCTATTTGGGATGCACTTACAAGGAAGTTTGTTCGATCTTTACCTGAGTTCAGCGGGAATGTCTCATCTGATGGAAAGATTGGATTATATGCTCCTGTCAAAGGGGGTTTGTTCGTAAGAAAGAAACTCACTCGTTCTTGGGATAATGTAATCCGTTAAGATCATCGACATGAAAACAGGAGGAATAATAAGAACATTGATCGGTAATGTTATGGAAGGTGTGAATGACGTTATTGCCACTTTCAACCCCAGCGGCTGTTATGTTTTGTATTATCACAGTGGACACAAATCTCTAAGGTATTTTACAAATCTTCCCGCTCTGTACATTTCCGTTTTAGAGTTTTCCGAGTTTCGGATGGTGCGCACATAGGCACTTTAAGACCCCACTCGGCTATATCAACATGGACGTTTGATTCATCTGGGTCGTATCTTATTATAGGTTAGTATACATCGAGTCATTGGCAATATTTCTTCCCAAAGGTGGACAGGATGGCTCTCTTCTAAGTGTCGCCATCTTGGAAACGGTTCAGAAAGAAGATGTACTGAAAAAGCTAGCGCAGCTACCTTCTCGAAGGCATTTAGCTGAACATTTGCGGATACCCGTGAGTAGCCATCAAGTGTTCTAATTTCATTATGCACGAGTGCTTACAGTTTGTTGAACAAGTGTACGACGATGTATTCGACTTGCGAAATCTTGGAGCGGTTACTGCTGCTATTACACGATTTAAAAGCCTATTACACGGAGGAGCTAAACGGTCACATGTCTGTTCTCTACAGTAGTGACTTTCATCAGCAGACAGCTACGTTTGAAGAACTTTTTCTGTTTTCTTGAACTAACACATGAAAGTTTTTTCCCAGCTATCTGTTGTGCGTTCTCTCTCTTAAACGACCAATCACTCCCAGGAGCAAGTGGGAGAGCTAACCGCTCGATCAATAACAGAACAGTTCAACATTGTCCTTTCTTCATTTCGATTAGTTGAAGAATTAGTTGAAGAAACGTTGGAGAAAAAGAAACCGATTTCTTTAATTTCTCTCTCTCTCTCCCTTGATCTCGTGCCGGGACCAATAAAAATCTGGAAAAATTCCAAAGTTTTTCATTCTTTTTTTTTCGACTTCTTCCTTCTGTTTTCCTTCGTTTCTCTATAATATTGAAAACTCTTACAGTGCGTGTAACCGGGTTCAGCATTCCTTTTCTTAAGATAAATGTTTGTTATTATGAACTGTTTTTTGTTGAGGGAATTCTAATCGAGAAGGAGCCCAAGTTTGATTGTAAGTTCGGTTTTTCGTTTCCCACAGCTTCATGCCGTTTCATAACGTTGCCGATGAAAAAAAAATGAAGGAATTTTGATCATTTTGAAGAAAGTTATGACGGTTAGAAGGACATATCTTCTCACATCGGTGTCTACATCGTGTCGAAGCTTCGAAGGGAACAACACTTTTCATTCTTGAAACCAAAAAAATTAGTTTTTGGTGGTGCACGGGTTTCATTCTGTGAATATGTTCGTTTGGCTAAGCGGTTGTGCTTCACGTTTTACTTGTGCAGCAGAGTAGCTTGCTGCGAGTTGGAGAACACGCTGGACAGCATAACTCAGTCGAATCCTCACCGATTTTCTCGCTCTTTTCTTAGTTTCTCTATTGAAACCTCATTCTTATCGGTTTCGTAAACAAAGTATGATCGTTTGCCACAGTTCTCATCTTTGCTTCGCGTCTTTTTCATTCGCATAATTGTATAGCATGTTTCATGCTACGGAAACGTGAAGTTTCTTATTTCAGGTCCTGTCTACATTCGTTCGATTCAGTTCTCAACGCTGTTTCCAAATATGGTAAGACCTCTTCATTTGGTTCATGAAAACGAAAGATATTCTATCTGGAAGTTTCCCCTGAAGCATCTCGTCGTACGATGTACGGCGCGGAAGTGCATAAGTACGTGCAATTTGCCACGTTTCACGGTCGTACGTGACCAGATCCCTAGGGGGAGGCGAAACTATGACACTCAGTGTCGCATTTTTTGAATTTTTAATTTTTCCTCTCTCTTGATCTCGTGTCGGGACCAATAAAAATTTGGAAAAATTCCAAAAGTTTTTCAACTTTTTTTTGACTTTTTTCTTTGTTTTTCTCTGCTTTTACTGATTTTTTTCTCAATTATTCGAAACTTATATGGTTGCTTGACGTCGTTACAAGGTTCGAGAAGATTCTGAAAGAAGTTTTCAGTCGATG